TATATTATATTATGCAATTTGTTTTTAGTTCGAAATAACATTAAATATTTCAATGTTGATCATTAATTTTCGTTTACAAATTTCAATCTAAGTCATACAAATAATAATTAATGTGAACATTCTATTTTGATTCACTGATAAAAAATAAAGAAAAATAAAAAATGGATTCTCTTATTTTTTGCATTAAATTGTATGTGAGCATATATGTACTCTTTATTAAAAATAGGAGAAAATGAAGGGGGTACAATAGCCAAAATGGAAAATGTTGATTATATTACTTTTTTTTTTCATATTTAATAAAAATTATACTAAGTCTTCAGTATTATGGGAATACTGAAAATATTTTCCTCATCTCCTCTAATAGAATCAATCACAATTTTAAAAAATAGGCAATTTGGTCAAAGTGCCCACGTATTTCAGTTTATTTTTATTTCACTTTTTTTTAGACCCGTTACTATTTCATTTTGCTTATAATTATTTAAATTTTCCGCAAAATGGTTGTAAAAAATTTAGTTTTTTCCTTGCTCTAAATACTTCGTTACATTTATTTTATTTTGAGAAATTTTTGGTTCAAATTTTTATTTCGTAGAATTTTTTTTAATTATGCTATCATTTCTTTTAATTTGTAAATATTTAAATTAATTTCTTAATCTTCTTGTAAATATTAAAAAAAATTGTTTAACTTTTATTATATTTTAAAATTTTGTAAGTAGTTTTAGAAAATTATTTTAATTCACATAATTAATTTAAGATATTATTCTATGACAAATGTTCTAGGGTGCTATGAAATTAAGTTTTCGCCATTTTTATACATAATATATTCTCAAATATTGGTGAGTTTTAAAGATCATCTATTTTTAATTTAATAAAATCTATGGAGATTTTATTTTTAATTTTTTACTGTTACGAGCACATTAATTAAATTTGAAATATTTAGATAGATGCATAATTTTATATTATTTTCACATAAGAATTTAAGATCACGAGTGTTTCTCATTCAAAAGTTAAAATAAATAATCAATTTTAACAAAAACTTAATATACCACTTTTATTTTTGTTGATAAAATTTAACGTGTCGGTTAGTAAAAAAGAACTGGATATTATTTAATGTATTACTTAAAAGTATAGTATATCATCGACCTATTTTTAATTTAATTGGTCAACAAAGTAAAGATAATGTTTTGAATAAGGCATAAGATATTCACACCACTAATCACGTGGCGGCATTGTGATCACACACAAACAAGGATTAGGCGCTTAGATGGCCCACACTGCTCACATTGAACATGTTTTATGACAAGTAATCTTAATTAGTTATATTTAATCTTGATTTATTAAAATAATAAGTTCTAGAACCACATTCTTCAGTTTCCTTGGATGACATATAATTCCATGTTAACAACGGCTCCTTATTTATCACTTTGTCAGGGTCGGTCGCATGTCTTTTTCTAGATTTTATTTATCCCTTTTGTTCTAACAGGATTTAACCATGTGTCGATGTTTAATTATCCTCTTCATAATTTTAAATGCTTAACATTTGCACATAGACAAAAGAGGATTCTGTAAATTAAAGTTTAAACCAATTCATGACCAATTGTTTTAGAAGGGGTACAAAGTATTAGCATTTGTTTCAATACTAATATTTTTTTAGTGAGTTAATATTAACAGTGATAATCACGCCTTGCCTTAATCAAATGTCGGTTGTATTGATTAATTAATATTAGTTAAATCAAACTAAAACTTTTTTTTTTTTTTTTTGGAAATTTCTTTTAATTGTTTATGTTAATATTTTTATTTGATTCTTCATCTACTCGTTTCAATCGAACATTCTTGAGCAGATTAACATTATTTTTATCACAGTCTTTATTGATATATTTTCACATGACTAAATTACTTTAATCGAGTTTTCATGATTTTTTCTTTTCTCCAATAAGTATTGGAATCGAACTTTCTCTCGTGCGTATATTTACTCGTGATAAATTTCTGAGTTTAATTCAAACGTATTGTATAAAAAAAGTTAAATCATTATTTGATGATATTTAATTATTTTAACTTATAACTTTAATAATACACAACATATTAAAATTATTAAATAATATCAAAATTAAATCATATAACTTTTCTTATACTTTGTGACATAGGTAAGGGTTAGCTGTTTTTTTTTTCAGCCAGTGAATGGAATCAAGCTCACACCAATATTTTTTTAGGATAACTCAGATCCCTTATTCCATTTACAAAATTATATGAAAAATTCGGTATATAACTTATCAAAGTTAAAATGATAATAATATGTTTAACAATATTATTCTACTCTTTTTTTATGATTAATATTATATAAATCTCATTGTTTTCTTATATTTATTTATCTTATATTTTACTTTGTATTTATTACGTACTTATCTTTTTTTACGGGGACAGTATCCTTTTATATCGGTATCAAATTTTTGGTGTCAAACTTTTTACCAAATCTTAATTGTTGATTTTGTGAATCTATATGTTAGAGATATATAAATCTATTAATATAGTCTTATATAACAATTTAAGCTTTTGTGTTAAATTAGTTCTTTACATGATATCAGAATCTTGATGTCACGAATTCGATACCCACCACCTCCATTTAATTAATAATTAATTAAATTTTATAGAATTTAATTATGAAAGAGATTACTTATACGGTGGAGAATGTGATTGGAACTGATGAGGCTGATGTGGGACGTCACTGTCAGAAGGACACCAAAAAGAAGTGGGTAGTGATGGCCCAATCACTTACCTTACCCCATGAACCCGAACCTCCCCCTTCATTAAAGTGCCCCTTATTTCATTGCCACTTTTTTTCCTCTTATTTACTATTTTGCTAACTTAGATGCTAACCCTGCCACTTTCTCCCTAACTTAATTTTTTTTTTCTACTGGCAATGTTGCCCCTGAAGCTCTCCATTTATTTACTGCCAAATACCAAATTCCTTCTCCTATCTTTGCTTTTTTATTGCCTCCTATCAACTAAACATATCGTAAAGATAGATCATGTTAAAACAAATAATTTTATTAATCTCATGTTAAAGTAGATAGTTATCTCATGTTATAGAGACAAACTAGTGGGCTCCACCACCTGAAAAAAGAAAAGAAAAAAAAAGGTGGCACAATTATCAAAGGGTGTGTAGGAGAAAAAACTTATGTCATGTGATATAAGAATAGTTTTTCCCTAAAACAAAACAATAAGAAAAAAATGCGTCTAATTTTAAAAGATATAAAATTGTATTATTTTAACTGAGAAAAAGAAAAAGATTATAGAGGAGAGAGTGGACAAAATAAAAATAAAAATACGGATCACATCTTTTTATAAGAGGTGAAATGACAAAAGTTGTGTTATTTAAAAAGACAAACAAATTTTCCAAACAATAAATATATAAACATTTACATGTAAATTTATACGGAAAATATATTGTAACAACCAATTAGGATTATAATCAATGTTACTATCAATCAATTTCACTGTTAGATCGATTATGTTGATCCATCGGTTATATTTATTTTCATCTTTGTATGGTTATTATTTTTCATATTTAATACTTTATATTTATTTTCACCTTTGTTTTATTACAATTTCTCATATTTAACGCTTTCACATTAAATATGGGGAATCATAACCATACAAAGATAAAAATAAAAATAATCATAAAATAACATAATCGGTCTAACGATGAAATTGATTGGTAATAACATTGATAGTAATCCTAATTAGTTGTTACACTATCCTATCCCAAATTTATATAAATGTTTAGTATAAAATAATTAAACAACACCATCTGATTACAGAATGAATAGAATACCCAACCTAGCTAGTAGCTATACTAGGTTTGAGGTGTTTGTTACAACTACATTGTCATTTTTGTACTGGTGACAGGTTATTTTATTAACAATTATTAATGAGGTTTTATTTACCATAATTTTCTTTGTCTCTCTCTCTTTGTCTTCGTGGTACCTATTTTTTTTTATTTTCATTTTTTGGGGTTGAAGTCTTTATGTAAAAACTCTATATTTTGATTAGTTTAATAATTGCAGTATAAACTCCTAAATATTTAAGGACTGAGTTCAGGTAAAGTTGGATGTGGAAGGCTAGCTGCAACAAAACACTGCTTAAATAGGAGGAAAAGAAAACAAAAAAGAGAGAGGATAATAACACCTTGAGAGCACAAAGCATGGATGCCATTATCTCCTTACCTACTCTTTTGTGTCCTTTTGACTCTGTCGTCCCATGGCAATTTTGAAAAGTAAAAGGGTATCTAATGCCATTATGCAGAAAAAAGTTTATGCTTATTCTTGAAATTCTTGTTCCATGCAGGGGCATTTCTGTGAACAAAAGTACAGCAATGCAATTACAAACACACTCATCAGAGTTAACGACTTGGCGTGTAGAAGTTGTCAAGTGGCATGGACGGATAGGGATGGGAACACAACTACAAAGCAAAACAAAGCAAAGTTGAGAAAAGCAGTGATTTTTGCTGAGTGGAACTAAGCCTTTTTCTGCTATCTACATTATCATTATACTATTATATTATGAGTGTGATATATTTATAAGGGATAAAGTTATCTTCTACAATCAAATAATGGTAGTTCAGTTGGCGCATAGAAGCTGAGAGTAAGAACATGTGTTAGATTCTCTCCAGTACCACTTTAGGAGAAGTTTAAAACATTAATCTGGACCCGTCCCGAATCAGATTAATTACAAAACAATAAACCGATTGAAATATTTAAAAAAAAAATTATCTTCTCCATACGTAAAAATAAAAGTATGTGAACCCCCCAAAAAATATGAATTTACTTATTTTTATGTATACATAAAAAGATAAAATTATCTCTCTGAATATTAAAGACATTAAATCCTTATATTATAATAAATGCGATTTTGTTAAAATATTAGTTATTGCTCGATTATTTTCCCTATATTATTTTTAGTGGATAGTTGGGAAAGAGATAAAGGCCAATACCAGAAAACATTGTTGTGATCATATTCTTATTATCTGTCTTTTGCAAATTCTCGTATCTTAGTGTCTGTGAATTCATTCTTCTAAGTCCTTGTAGCTTCATTTTCTTCCTCCTAAAATCCATTCTACGTTTATCTTCAATCCTTAGTGTATTTCTTTTTCTTCTTCTGCTTTGTGAAAAGCTTTGCTGAGGTAGTCAAACCTTAAACGCTACTTTGCTGTGCTTCTGTTTGTTCTCTTGTTTAGTTTTGGAAAATTGAGGAGCACTGCAAGTCTGGTTTGTTCATTGTGTGATGAAAACTGCAGATTTGGTAGCTAAAAAACGAATCTTTGCAGGTTAGTCTTTGGCCCCTCCTTTTTGTTTTACATCTTGGTTGGTAGCCGGTGGCTGACAAGATAACAAGAAGTATCAATTTGTGTTTGGAATTAGAAACTCAGAATGATTCTTTGGTTCTTTTAAGGGTATGTGTATTTCATATTCTGGTGTTGCCATTCTGAATTTGAAGCTATTGTTGGATTGGATAAGATAGCATTTTGTCAAGGTCATGTCTCATTTTTGTTGTTGTTGTTGTTGTTAATTTATCCCCTGAAATCTACTTTGTTTTTCAGGAATTGGGAGGTGGTTGGCGTTTTTCTTCTTCATTTCTTGAATTTCTATCTCTCATAGGCTTTAGCGTTTGTGGAGATTCTGTGGATTTGACAGTGGTTCTCTCACTAGCCTGCCTACCTACCTGGAATTGGCTAGAATCCACTACCTCTTGCAACTGTTTTTAATTTAACTTGTGTTGCTTACTGTTGTGGATGAGTTTGCTACATGTAGTGGGGTTTGGTCTAAAGGTGGGGCATCTACTTTTGGTGCTATGTTGCTGGATTATGTCTGTCATTTACACCAACTGGTTCATTAGGGGTGGAATTATGGACACCAAGATGAGTTTTTTGGGCGGTGGTGGCAAGATGTGGCTCAGAGGTTGGGAGATGATCTTGGGGAACAGTTACAAAATCAACCAACACTATTACCAATGTATTGGGTCCAATAAAGTCAGGAGAACCTTGTGGAGAAAACTTTTGTTGACATGGGTTCTGGGTTGGTCCATAGTATCCTTGTGGATCTTCTGCCGTATGAGCTTACAAGCTACTGAGAAAAGGAAAGAAACTCTGGCCAGCATGTGTGATGAAAGGGCTAGGATGCTTCAGGATCAGTTTAATGTGAGTATGAACCATATCCAAGCCATGTCCATTCTGATCTCAACCTTCCACCATGGCAAGACCCCCTCTGCCATCGACCAGGTTACTTTACTAATCTCTCTTTTACTATCTTGCTAATCAGGATGTAATTAATTCCTTACTGCAACTGATTAATTAATTGTGTTTGGCTTGACTCTACCTTTTTCTTTTAATTTTGAAGTTATTATAAGTTTTCATTTACCGGAGGCAGTGGTAATTTACTGTTCCTTCATGATTGAAAGGTCATGGGTTCGAATCCAAGAAACAGGCTCTTTGCAATTATGCAAGGGTAAGGCTGGGTACAAGGATTTCCTCCACCCACACTCGCTAGTCGGGTTTAACGGGGAGTGATATTTTTTTTTTTTTTTATAAGTCTTCATTTATTATGCACATAGACACACACCCCACCACCACAGTCTATTTCATTTGTTTCAATTTCCTTTTTTGACAGATGTAAATTTCCCAATTTCCCAATAGCCGAGATGAATATAATGTCATGGTAACAAATGAATCTAACTTAATAAAACCTGCAGAGAACTTTTGCAAAGTATACAGAAAGAACTGCTTTTGAGAGGCCCCTTACAAGTGGGGTTGCATATGCTATAAGGGTGCTTCATTCTGAAAGGGAACAATTTGAGAAGCAACAAGGCTGGACTATAAAGAGGATGGATACCGTGGAACAGAACCCGGTTCATAAGGATGACTATGTCCCAGAGGCATTGGAGCCATCCCCTATCCATGAAGAATATGCTCCTGTCATCTTTGCACAAGATACAATTTCACACGTGATATCTGTTGACGTGCTTTCTGGAAAGGTACGTTTCTCAAATATCTTATATGTCCTGCACTAAATTTGTTGGGTACATCACACGTCACTGATATTTAAAGTTTAAACTTTTTCGCCAAATATGAAAATTATGAATAGTTTTAATTCATTTATATGACTTTTGACTGGAATTTTTAGTGGTCATTTATTATGTTTTGAGAAAACTTTTTGTTTTTGTTTTTACTCTCGTCTCAATGGGACATCTCATTAGTTACTATGGAGAATAGAGAAATGAATAGTCTCTGGTTTTGTGGATATCACAAAGCTCAATTGGGATTGGTTGTTCATGTTTGATATTTTTAATATATGGAAATCAAATTTGGAATTATGGTTGTCACTCTTCATCAACAGGAAGATGGTGAAAATGTGTTGCGTGCTAGAGAATCAGGGAAAGGGGTTTTAACTGCTCCCTTCAGGTTGCTCAAAACAAATCGTCTAGGGGTTATCCTGACATTTGCAGTCTACAAGAGAGATCTTCCATCAAATGCAACCCCAAATGAAAGGATTCAAGAAACTGATGGGTGTGTATAAATTTTAGAATTTGTTAAAATTTGACATTCCGTGAGAGACTTTTTCATCATTGACATAATTTTGCTCATTATCTTTTGGTAATTAAGAGTTCTGATGTAACTAATCTACTGAGCAACTTAAGATTTGATATTGGGTTAAACAATTCATGAACACAGTTAATTTAAGAGGGAACCATTCCAATGTTTTCACTCACTACCGTGCAGGTATCTAGGTGGGGTCTTTGATATCGAGTCTTTAGTGGAGAAATTGCTTCAGCAACTTGCTAGTAAGCAAACCGTAATTGTTAATGTGTATGATACTACGAATCATACCCATCCAATTGCTATGTACGGTTCAAATGTATCAGGCAATGAGTTCCATCATGTCAGCCATCTTAACTTTGGAGATCCTTTCAGGAAACACGAGATGCACTGCAGGTAAGAGATTTGCAGTAGGAGTAGTTTTCTGTTTCTGTCCTTAATGTTCTATTGTCAACCGTCCTTAATTAGCCTTACAAAACTTGTGGTTTTGCTTTAATCAATAGCTGCATACATAGTTTAGAGTTTTTATCTGGAGTTATCGGTTATAACACTCTTCTGGGGTCACCTATTCTGGATTATTTTATTAATTTTTACATTGATTGAACTATGTATGACATTCAAGTTTTGATGCTGACACAGGTTCAAACAAAAACCACCGTGGCCATGGGTTGCAATAACTACATCCATTGGCATCCTTGTTATTGCACTCCTTGTTGGACATATTTTTCATGCAACTGTGAACCGAATTGCCAAAGTAGAGGATGATTACCATGAGATGATGGAGCTTAAAAAACGAGCTGTGGCAGCTGATGTTGCAAAATCCCAGGTATGTGATCTTTTGTAGTTGCTTTGTAACTTTTTATTTATAGGTTTGAGTTATACTTATCCTGCGGGCTTAATCAATTGTTAACACTGCAGTTCCTTGCTACTGTTTCCCACGAAATCAGAACACCAATGAATGGAGTTTTAGGTGAGTTGAAAACTCAGACTTGTCCTCTTTCTATGGTATACTATACGGTGTCCAATGTGTATGCATAGCACAAAAAGAAAAAGCTTATTCAGCCATGACCATGCTCTAAAATTGGATTTTCAGGGATGTTGGATATACTTATGGACACAGATCTAGATGTAACCCAACAGGAATATGTCAGAACAGCACAGGGCAGTGGAAAAGCTCTGGTGTCAATTATAAATGAGGTTTTGGATCAGGCAAAGATTGAATCTGGTAAGCTAGAGCTCGAGGCTGTGCTGTTTGACATACGGGCAATTTTGGATGATGTGTTGTCACTATTTTCTGAGAAGTCTCACGGAAAAGGAGTAGAGGTAATATATCTGTCTAGGCTTTTGATGCCCTTCTATGATGGTGGAATTTTCAAAATTATAACTTGACTGCTTTTCATGTTTTTTTGTTTTTGTTTTTGGGGGGAGCATAGTTGGCAGTTTATGTCTCAGATCGGGTTCCTGAAAAGCTAATAGGTGATCCAGGAAGGTTTCGGCAAATAATCACGAATCTCATGGGTAACTCGATTAAGGCAAGTCTATAGGGAGAAAAAAAGATGTGTCAACTGAACCCTCTTCCAACTCATTTATTCTGTAGACTAATTTACTAGTCAGCTAAGCAACATTTACTTGGTCTGATATTCTATTGATTTATTGAATTGAAAGTTGATGTCAATTTGGATTTAGAGATCTTCCATTGTCCTTCATTTTTGTGTTTTGAATTGCCTTATAGACATGCACCAGCCTTAGTAGTTTCATGGAGCTTTAAATAATAAAAAAAACAATTTCTAAGTGTTCCAACCATAGCCAATAATGATATATGATTATCTATAAAGCAAAATAGAGATGTTTATTTCTAGACATGAGAAATGACAACTGATTTTATGCAATCATTTCACAGTTCACAGACAAAGGGCATATCTTTGTCACTATCCATCTTGTTGAGGAGGTTGTCCATTCAATAGAAGTTGAGAAAGAATTAACTTCAAAAGATACCTTGAGTGGTTTCCAGGTTGCTGATAGTCGCAAGAGCTGGGAAGGATTCCAGGCTTTCAGTCAAGAGGGACCTCTTGGTTCTTTCTCATCCTCTTCCAATGATCTCATCAATTTGATTGTATCTGTTGAGGATACAGGTGAAGGTATTCCTCTAGAAGATCAGTCCAAGATCTTCACTCCATTCATGCAGGTAGGTTCATCCATTTCCAGGAAACATGGGGGAACAGGTATTGGTCTAAGCATTAGTAAGTGTTTGGTTGGCCTCATGAACGGGGAAATTGGATTTGCAAGCATACCAAAGATTGGATCCACTTTCACATTTACAGCTGTCTTCACCAATGGAAGTCCAAATTCAAGTGAATGTTGTAAAAGTCAGCAAATCAACAACCAACCTCATCCTGCATCATCAGAATTTCAGGGTATGACTGCATTAGTTATTGACCCTAGACATGTTCGAGCTAAAGTATCGAGATATCACATCCAACGGCTTGGCATTCATGTCGAATTAGTTTCAGATTTAAATCAAGGTTTGTCCACAATAAGCAATGAGAATCAAGTTATTAATATGGTCCTGATTGAACAAGAGGTCTGGGATAGAGACTCAGCCATTTCATCTCACTTTGTCAATAGCACTAGGAAAGTTGATCACGGTGTTCCTCCAAAGCTGTTCATTCTTGTCAATTCTAGTAGTTCTTTTAGAGCAAGTACTGTAACATCAGTTGTTCATAATCCAACTGTCATCTCAAAACCTTTGAGAGCAAGTATGCTTGCTGCTTCGCTACAACGAGCCATGGGTGTTGGGAACAAAGGGAATCCTCGAATTGGGGGGCTTCAGAGTTTGTCTCTCCACCATCTTCTTCTTGGAAGAAAAATTCTAATTGTAGATGACAACAATGTGAACCTCACTGTAGCACAGGCTGCTTTAAAAAAATATGGAGCTGATGTGGTTTGTGTAAAAAGTGGAAAAGATGCCATCTCTTTGCTGAAGCCACCCCATCAGTTTGATGCATGTTTCATGGATATTCAAATGCCAGAAATGGATGGGTATGCAACATTAATACATTCTTGTTAATCTTGATAATTATGAATAAGGAATAGTTCTTAATTCTCATATTAATCTATCAGAATAATTGAAAACTCTTTCCAGGACAGTTTGCATCAAATGAAACTTTATCTATACTTTTGCATTACATTGAAAACAATTAGTGCATATAAAATATGGGTTAATCTTTTCTCATTTTACATGAGAAAAGATTCTCATGTTATACACACAATTAAAATGTGGGTCCCATTTTTATTTTTGTGTCTTTTCACTTTTTTGTGGACCCTACTTATGTATTGAGTGTGTAGCATAAGAAAATTTTCTCATGTAAAATGAGAAAATTAATCCCCATAAAATATATTTAGCACTTGGAATCTAAATCTTTTGAGAATCCCAAATTCTAACTTTCTATTTGTTTTGTTCTAAAAGTACACATATCATTTGGTACTTACACACAAATTGCTAATATACAATCATTTTGCAACAGTTTTGAAGCTACACGTAGAATTCGGGAGATTGAACATGCGAACAGAGAAGGGTCTGCTGAAGCCTTTGAAAATAATTCAAACTGGTATGTGCCCATTTTGGCTATGACTGCAGATGTGATCCAGGCTACACATGAGGAATGCCTAAAGAATGGGATGGATGGATATGTTTCAAAACCTTTTGAAGCTGAACAACTTTATAGAGAAGTTTCACGGTTTTTCCTTTCATCATGAAAAAGAAAATACAATGATGATATAAACCTGAGGATTCATGACAATGGAGGCATCAGCGTCTGTTGGCCATGACATTTAGAAGTGTGCATAAATAGGTTCAATAATCTCCTCTGAGTAAGTTCGCTATTTACGAAATACATATTACAGTTCTTATCCAATATAAAAAGGGGAAAAAATCTTTAAAAGAATGTAAGTTGTGTCTTTTTAGTTTTTTACTTTATGTACTCTCAGTAGTACATAGTTATAACATAAAAAATTATTATTATTATTTTTTTTTCATTTTACACATTAGCTGACGTGATTGAGGAGAGAAAAAAAAAAAGCAAATTTTCATGTTATAACTATGTACTACCAGATACGTAGTAGAGTAAAAAAATTAAAAGGACACACCTTATGTCCTTAAAATGACACACACTAAACCCTATAAAAACATGACATCTTTTTTCTCCATAGACCGGAGAGTGTTATCTATCCCATTGGAAAGAAAAAATAGGAATAATGAAAAAAAATTCTAGACTTGAGAAATTGTTGATTCTGCCTTTTGTGACCTCCATTGGTGAATTTTTTTGGCTGTGATTGAAGATCCTTGGTTTAATTTTTTTATCTTTGTGGCAGGGAATGTACGTAGGAACCAAGTTTTATTGGTTGGAGTTGAGTTTTAATTGGTTCTGAGGGTATCAAAACCAGTTTATTCTTCCATGTAAAGTCACACTCGTCCATGGTAACTACCAATTGGACATATTAGGGGGAATTTGAAGACCCAAGTGTATATAATTCAGGATCTGGTGTCTCATCATCTTCTGCATGTAATAATACTACTCACAGTACTCTAAGCCTTGCATTTCTATGGGCATTGATAAATGTATAGAAGAGAATGATTCAACGTAGATTAGCTTCTTGGAGATAAAGATGGCAAGAAATGCAGCATACACCATATGAAGTTCATCAGTGGCTACTTCAGCTTCTATTCCTTTTGTTCTTAACAATGCCATATTTTGGTTTTCAAACACGTTAACTGATACATTGGAGTATAATATTTGAGTTATCCACCATTTTTTGGCCGATTTGTACATTTCCAGTTCTGTATTTCCTTTGGCTTTTTATATGTTGCCTTTCAAATTTTGTTTGTTTTTTGTTTTTTCCCCCCCATAATATAAAACAGGTTACTGTGGTCAAAATATACCAACCTTTACTAATACATCTAGACTTCTAGTAGACCTGCATCACTAAAATTGGAACTTAATGTAAGAGATGAATATTAGTAGAAAAATACACTATTAAACAAAACATGGGAAACTGCCTTAAGTGATGTCATTAATACTTCCTTATGTATTAGTTTGAAGGTTGTCACTGGTGGAAGTATCATTTTAATTGAATGGTTTGGATGTGTAGCATGTGCTCGAAAATGGTGGTTACTATACACCCTTTCCAAGTAAATAGTAACAGAATGTTCTTCTATCACTTTTGGATACCAGGACCAATAGTTTACCCACGCCAATTGATATCACACGTATCAACTCAAAATAGTTCTTATTGTAATTGTTACTTGTGACATAATTGCTAGTAATTGAGGTTGAGTTTAAATATAAATATAGGCCCAGCTTATACAAGTCAGTCGATATGTCCGAGTGGTTAAGGAGACAGACTTGAAATCTGTTGGGCTTCGCCCGCGCAGGTTCGAACCCTGCTGTCGACGTTGTTTTTTTTTTTTTGTTTTGTATTTATCATTTATTACAAAGTTATAGTATTTACTATCAATGTTATATCATTAAGATTACATCTTTATCTAACAAGTTACAACTATTATTTTTGTGTTTTTTGTTTTTTTCATAATTTTATTATGAAAAAAAATTACTATTAATAAATTGCAGTATTGTGATTATAATTTAAATTACACGTTCGTAAATTTGAACCGATAATAACAAAACTAGTTACATATTTATTTTGTGAATACTCCAATTTTTATATTTATCTGATAATAAAAATATTAAACTTTAATGAAATAGGTCAAGGAGAAATCATAAAAAAAGGGTTGATGAGAGTTAGAGATATAAATGGATCAGTCCGTCTAATAGAGACCTATTACTTGCCTTTAGGGGTGAAAGTGGATCGGGCCGACGTATAGGGGCCTACGGCCTAGCCTATATCAGATCAGACTTGATCTATTTTATATAGTCAAATAAAACATGCTTGAGCTTTTAAAGAAGCCTATTTAGAAAGTAGGTAATATGCTTTTTTTATATACCGGGCCTATAGCCTATAGGCCGACCTATATCATATTATTTATTTTAAATAAAATAAAATAATATTATTCATAGTAGTACCAAATGCTGATAGTTCAATTGGTGCATGTGAGCTAAGTAGGTGGTGGAAGGACTTAGGTTCATTTCATCACCAATACTATTTTTGAGAGTGGCATAAGATCTGTACTAATCTCTACAGTACCATCAGAATCAACATTTAGTGCCGGATGAAGAGTTATTGATGCCTATCGTTTTAGCTTAGCTGAAGATATCATCCAAGCTTTAATATACGGCGTAGATTGGCTATGTAATACGTATGACTTGAAGAAAAAAATAAAAAGTATAAATTTGGAATTATTTTATAATTTAATTATATTAGATTAAATTTTAATAGAAATTTGACTTTATTTTTTATGTAGGAGGAACCAACATCTCAGTATGTGAGATTGCCTATATGAATCTGTTAAAATATTTTTTGTTTCTTAATCTTATTTTTTTTTGTTTCTATTCTTTATTCTTGTTTTTTGTTTTCTATATTTACAAATTATTTGTCAACTTATGTAATATTGGAATTGTATTTGTAGGGTAGAGAAGATGAAGAGAAGTTTTTGGCTACTACAAGCATCATAATGTGTTTGTTGGATTCAAGTAGTTATTTTAATTTACATAGTATAGATTTGTTTGTTGGATCTGATAAAATATATGTTATTTAGTTTGAGAATTTTGCTTTTGGAAGTGACTTAAATGCAGATTGTGATGAGTTTTGTTGTAATTTATAGTTTTGTTTGGACGTTGAAATTGTGATTTTTGTTTTATCAACATAATTTGAGTATTTTGTGAAGTTGATTATTGGTTCTGCTTGGAAGTTAAAAATTAACAGTCTAACGGGCCAAGTTAGGCCATTTGTTTTTTTATAAACGGGTCAAGCCAGACTAACAGTTAGACTCATACTAGGCTCGGACCAGGCCAAATTGAAATTTTTTGGCATAAGCTTGGGCTTTTCAGGGCAAAGCTCGACCAAACCCAGACCACTTTCACCCCTACTTGCCTTACATCAGGTCAGACTCTACTTATTATATATAGGGTGCGCATGACAATCTTCCCGGAATCAATTTTTTTTTTTTAATTTCTCTTCCCGGGAACAGAAATGGATAGAAAACTCGTTTGGTAAAACCAGATTATTTTTTTGTTCCTGGGATGAACCAGATTATTTTTTGTGCTGGGGAACAAAAAAAAGAATCAGAAAATTTCTGCTTTTTTGTTCCCGGGCACAAAATGAGAAACACTTATCTCTCTTAATCACTCTCCATCTCTACCATCATCACCACCACCACCACCATCCCAACACGACCACCGCTACCATCGTCGCCGCCGCCGTCGTACCACTAGTGCTGTCGTGACCACCCCCACCACCACGATGCCATCGCCGCCATCACCACCACCTCTACCCATCACTATCACCTCCACCACCACAACTACCACCGCTGCAACCACCACTATCACCGTCACCGTCACCACCACCATCACCACTACCGCCATCAACCCCACCACCATCATTGCAACCACCATCGCCATCACCCCAATCGTCACAGCCACTACCGTCACCACCACCTCCATCGCCACCATTACACCACCCTCGCCACTGTCACCCACCGCCGCCGTCACCGCTGCAACCACTGCCGCCACCACCATCACTATCTTCATGATGCCATCACAACCACCACCACCATGCCACCAACCACCATCTCCACTACCATTGTCGCAACAACTGCCGTAACCTCCACCACCACTACCACCACCACAATGCCACCGCTACCATCACCACCACTGTCACAAACCACCATTATCATTGTTGCAACCACCACCGACACCGACACCGCCGCCGCCACCAACCACCACCACCATCGTCACAACCATTACCGTCACTACCACCACCATCGCCACCATTACACCACCACCACCACCACCACTGTCACCTACCACCACCTCCACCACCGCAGCCACTGCCAACACCACCATCTCCATGATGCCATCACAACCACCACCATCATGCCGCCACCACCATTGTCGCCAATACCATCACCACCATGCCACCACCACCACCGTACCACTGCCGCCAGCACCATCACCACCATGCCACCCCCTGCCGCCACCACCACCATAACCACACCATATGGAAAGGAAAGTGATGATCCGAATTTTTTTTATATTTAATAGGAATTATTTTTTATTATATTATTTGTTGTGTTATCAAACCCAATTCTCATTCTCGGAATAAAAATATAACTTGTTATCAAACACATTTTTTCCTTCAGAAACTGTTCCAAGGAATAGAAATAGAAAAGAATTATTTTTTTCAGAAACAGTGCTAGGGAATTGAATAGTTGTCATACACACCCATAGTCAAATAAAGCAGACTCAGGCTAAAAAAAACATATTTAAAAAATAGGTCATAAGCTTTATTTTACATATCGAACCTATAAACCAGCTATTTATTTTAAATAAAATAAATAAATTATTATTTTAATAATTTTCAATAATAAAATGATATTTTTTTAATTATTAGATTTTGAATAAATTTAAACAGACAAATAAACTTATTTCAAGACATTTAATTTTTAAATATTGATTAGAACAAATTTATAGTTTAAGACTAATATTCATACCACAACCTAAAATATTTTGCATAAATCTAATTTATTTAACCCCCCAAAAAGGCGAGCCCGGTACAATGTATTTACACCCGCAAACGAGAGTATTATTTAGATTAAATACATTTTTTACTCCCTAATATAAAATACGGTTCTCACTTTAGTTTTTACAAAAATAAATTAGTAAGTTAGTTCTTAACAAATTCAAAGTGAACCCATTTAGTTGAAATCGTGGTCCCTCACAAATTCAAAAAAGATCCATATTAGTCCCTCAAAAGTACTAAAATGGGTCTACCTTGACTTTGTTAGGGACTAATTGACTAATTCTAATTTTTGTAAGGGACTAAAATGGATACCGTATTTTTTTTTTTTTTTTGTTAACGATAAAAAGGGTCTTTACTCTATTATTTATAAGAAAGGGAGGGTGTGGGACTGCGTTAGGGTGAAGCGGGTTTGAGAAATGGATCCAGACGCGTTGGCGAAGGCATTTGTAGAACACTATTACTCAACCTTCGATACCAATCGTAGTGGCCTTGCCAATCTCTACCAAGAAGGTTCCATGCTCTCTTTCGAAGGTCAGAAGATTCAGGGTTCTCAGAACATCGTTGCTAAGCTCACTTCCCTCCCATTCCAGCAGTGCCAGCATGCCATCACCACCGTCGATTGCCAGCCCTCCGGCGTCAATGCCGGCATGCTTGTCTTCGTCAGCGGCAACCTCCAACTCGCTGGCGAACAACACGCTCTTAAGTTTAGCCAGGTATACATGTTTTTTCTTTTTCTATTTCTTTTTTTTTTTTTTTAAGAAAAAGGGGAAATTTTGTTTTTTGTTTTTATTTGATTCGATACTCATTTGTGTGGAATGGTTTTCTTTTGTGGAGATTTGAAGCGTGGATACTGGGTATTGGTCAAAATTGCATCTTTTTCCTTTGCGTTGGATCTACCTTAAATTACACTACCCATTCCTTCATGTTTGTTTTGTTTTGTTTTAGATTTTGATGATCCGGTTCTAGTTAACTACTCTGTTTTATTAATCCCAATCTTGTTAACTTTGACGGTGAGAAAGCTTCAAGTGTTTAATAAATCCCTTTGGTTTAAGTTTTTTATTTGTTTTTCTAGTGTTGCTGCGCTCCAGTATTATCCTAAAGGATGGATGAGGTTGTTTTTACATGGTTTTTTTTTTTTTTTTTTTGATTTGATTCGATACCCATCTGTGTGGGTGTGGATACTGGGTATTAGTCAAAATTGCATCTTTTTCCTTTGTGTTGTATCTATCTTAAATTACACTACCCATTCCTTCATGTTTGTTTTGTTATGTTATGTTTTAGATTTTGATGATCCGGTTCTAGTTAACTGCTCTGTTTTATTAATCCCAATCTTGTTAATTATTATTGTACCTCATTTTTGTGTTGATGGTGAGAAAGCTTGAAGTGTTTTAACAACTCCCTTTGGTTTAAGTTTTTTATCTTGTTTTTTCTAGTGGTGCTGCGCTCCATTATGATCCTAAAGGATGGATGAGGTTGTTTTTACATGGTTATAGTTGGATCTTCTTCTTTTTTGTTTTTAGTAATAGTTTTGTGGCTGTGTTTTAATTCTTTTATGGTTTTATGTCATTACAAATATGTTTGTGGACTCATGCCCTGTTTGTTTCAAATCCTCTCAATGCCCCCACCCCCAGGCGCTGAGAGAAAAGAAGTATTCATTTACTTGTCACTTGCCCTGATGTGTTTAATGAATGTGCATTGTTTGTTTTAAATCCTTTCAACTTGCCGTGAATGTTTCACCAAAATCTAGTACTAACAGGCGTTCAATGGTTCTTGGGTAGTAGGCTTGTGTCTAACTAGGCACTTTACTACCTAGGTGGAGTGTCTACCCAAAAGTTCTTTTCCCTTTTATCATGAAACAAGCAACTGGGAAGTGTTTGACAACTTGTCAAGTTCTGATACATTAGGGGAAATAAAAAAGATACCTATATTTCATGTTAGTTGTCAATTTGAGAGTTTTGTAATGTGATATTGGTAATGATCTTTTATGTAACCAAAGAAAAGGACTAAATTTTGGTAATAGATGAAGATGATTTTGATTACTGAGAATATAGAGGAGTGAAGGTCTTCATATGATTGCAATTGCCATTTATTATTGCCCAGATAGAACTGGAATTGCTAGCTTTAGATGCATTAATATTACTTGGTGTTCATCAAAATCATTTCTTCCGTGCTCTAGTTGGTTTTTCTTATTTATTAATTACATAATTTCTGTTGTCATTCACAATGACTAAACTTCTCAAATCTTTTTTGTTTTCAGATGTTCCATTTGATACCAACACCACAAGGAAGCTATTATGTGTTGAATGACATATTCCGTTTGAACTATGCATGATACATGAAAGACCACAGAAATTTGCCTACAGCTGTTTTGCTCCGGATATTTGAAATTGAAAATGGGTTCTTTTTGGTTCGTGTTGAACGCTTAATTGTGCCTCTTCATTTAGAATTTCCTGTTAGGGTTGATTTAAAACGTTTTCTAGGATAAATTGTTAAAGATCAATGGACAAATTTGGCTCTTCATGTCTTTTACTGTTTTCACTGTATTTTGATTTGATTGCTTAATTTCAATGTTGGTTTTGCATCAAGGATGATGAGTGGGCTCGCCATGACTTGATTGTCCTTCTGAGCTGAACAAAGGACAAGTTTACATTTCTCTCGGTAATTTTTTTTTTTTTTTTCAGTTTTTTAAAAAAAATTATGCACAGCTTATCTTGGAGTTGAAATAATAAATCTGTTTGTATTAATAAATGTGAGATTTTTTTGTAATAAGATAATTTGTGAACCTTCGTACCAAAAAAGAAAAAGAAAATATTATCCGAGATAATTTTAGAAAAAATGGTTTTATTTAACGAATTTGGATATCGTTACTCTCTAAATTTGAGCGTATGTTACATCTCAGTGATGAGCCTCTTTGTTGTATCCGTTAATGGGGCTATTTATGAAATAATTAAAACTTCCATGTTAATCTTATTAATAGATATCACTCGCTTTATTACTGTTTTTTTACAACGAAAATTTCACGTTAATCTTATTAAAATAATTTTAACTCAATTTATATCAGTTAATTTATTATGATATTATTTAATTAACAAATATTTTGTGAATTCCATGGATACTTTTAAATTTAGATAAAATTAAAAACATAATTTAAAGAGAAATTTTTTAAGTCACTTAGATTTATGATACTTAGTAAATGCATCACATAACCCACACGATTTCAAACTATCACTTCGACTCGACTCATTTTGGTTACAAAAGTTTATCGCACTCCCTTTGTTGTTTTAGCTCTCACTTCATTTTGGGATCTCAAGCTTTTTTCAGCCTGAGTTTGGTTTTTTGTAATGTGCAGTGCTTTCTTTTCTTTTAGCTAATTTCTTTTAGTTTTGATTCATGCGTTGGTCGAATAAAATTTTGATAGAAAGATCCAAAATAATTAGAGAGACTTTAAGATGTGGTGCGTTCCAAGTTCTATCTCTTTTTTGGTTATCTGATCTTCCTGCTACAATACTATCTCTTTCACTTCTCAATTTTTGTGAATTCGTTCAATTACCAAATTTGAAATTTGGCATCACTAGCACTAAGCTAGTGACCTTGAGATATGAAGAAGGCCTTTACTCTTAATCAGTTCTCATCTAAATCTACTCAATGAAATAAGGCATTTTATTTCCAAAAAAAAACACACACACACACACATATATATGGGTTCATTTAATAGTTGCATGAGAAATCTTCTTTTATGTTGTAGACACACATATGATGGGACCCGCCATTAAAAAAAAAGAAAAAAAAAATGTCACGATTTTCGATGGATGTAGGAAATAAAACTACTCTTATGTTGTATAAGAGTAATTTTTCCATATATATATATATATATATATATATATATATATATATATATATATATATATATATAATGAAAAATATGTTTCTTATGTTACATGATACAATTTGTCTCATACACACAAAAAAATGGATGGACTCACTTTTTTTTTTTCTCTCTTTTTCAAAATGGGTCTTACTCACTTTTTTGTGTGTTGCATGAGACAAATTATCTTATGGAACATGAGAAAAATCAAACTCATATATAATATATATAGCATTTAGGATACAATCTTAATGCATTATCCATGAATATGCTGAAAGACGCAACAACTATCAATACTTGTAAATGCTACAACAAGTGGGAATGAACATTACATGCAATTACCCTAAAATGTTCCTTTGAATTTTGGTGTATACAAATGACAAGGGAGAGCAGCAAGTCCATTTGCCTCCTTGACTCTTCACTACAAGAAAATGGCCAGTTTCATTGCTTTCCATTATGTAAACCTAAACTTGATATATCCATATGAGGCATCTCAGGAACCTTGAGGGAAGGAAGGGATGAAGATTCAGGTGGGTGTTCTTTGTTATCATGTTCCTGGCCATTCTTGTCAGAGACTTTTAACATCCCTTTGATCATACTTCCAAAGAATCTAAAAGGGTTGCTTAGTCCGTTTTTGACTTTCAAAATAAGAGAGACCTCTGATAATTGCCAAGCTACAGTGAGGACAATCATCACTGAAAGAAGACAATGAGTCACAAAATTCTGCCTCTTTACCTTCTTCAGCTCTTTGATTATCTCATCATCACTTTCACTTCCCCTGCATCCCCCATCCACTTTTTCGCTTCCTATTTGCTCAACAACAGAAGCTAGCAGTTCTGAAGGATTAGAAGCTTCGGATAGCTTAAGTATTTCATCTCTCTCCAACGTTTCCAACTGCCAATAATATAAATTTATCACATTCCCATAAAATGTCGTCTCTTGGTCAAGTAAGTTAGAATGTTACCAATCTCAGCCAATTAAAATATGGAATTAATACGATATAATTTTTATCTATTACACGTAAAAATTTGTGGGATATCGAGCATGCGAGGAGAAGAGAAAAAAAGAAAGAAAATATAGACCTCATACCATAAGAGAGAAACACAACATTCATAGTATATATCATGAGTTTAGCGTGTGTCATTTAAAAAGACACAAGTTGTATTGTTTTAGTGACTTACACAAAGTATGATCGATCATATTTTTTGTGTAGACCTGAAAAGTTATTTTTTATTTTACTTTACACGTAAGTGATGTGACTGAGGAGAAAGAAAAAAAATAACTTTTTAGATTTACACAAAATATGACGGGTCATATTTTGTGTAAATCACCTAAAAGTACACAATTTGTGTACTTTTAAATAATCCTTTTTTTTTTTTTTCATATATCAATATTATTAAAATAAAAGATGAAGTAAGATTGACAAACCATACAATAAAAAAAAAAAAACATCATATGTGAGGATAGAATTTGAAACACGAATAATCATATGATGTGCGGGGTAATACATATGAATATAATTGATAAGAACAGCAATAATGTGGTGTCGTGTTGTTTGGCATATAAGATGGTACCTGAGAGACAGAGAGTAGATGGGAAAGAGCGAGTTGGTATTCAGCGTCGTGGTCGCTAAGGTTATGGTTATGATGGGATTGAGATTCCTTGTCGTTGTTCCTGTTGTCGTGTATAAACTTCTGAATTGCGAGGTCGATGAGCTCAACCCTCCGATCTTGCTCCATGGCCAACAAACGTTCCTTCTCTGTTCTCACACACCGCTAGATACTCTATTATTGAATGAAAACACAAATGACACGTGGCCATTCGGTTTGTTCTAGTGACATTTTAGTGGGGTTGTTTTGGTGGGGATGATCCTTTTGGGACTCTTGATGTGTATCTTACGAATCACCAAACCCCGACACTTCAAAAATACCGACGTGTTGTATTTGACACTCTCACACACTCCGACATTTTCTGACATTTCAACACGCGTTATAGAAATTCAAAAAAGATTCAAAGGTTACGTTGCGTTGAGTTTTTTAGTTCCAACTATTAGATTTGTTGAATTACGATTACCATTTTATTGAGTTTAATATAAATATTTGGGATATCTTATATTTCTTTGAAAAATTTATGAATATTATAAGTTTAGATTCATTTTTTTGTTAAATTATTGATTATTGAATATTAAATATAATATATACTACCTAAATTAAAAATATTATTTAATATCAAAATATGTCCTCACGTATCAAAATCTAACATTTTTTTAGAATTAACGTGTCAGAATGTCATGTCGTATCGTGTCACGTGTCCTGTGTCAGTATCGGTACTACATTGTGTAGCCATTACCATGGACTCTTCATCATTTAATAATTATTTATTTAAAATATCATTGTATTGTATACACGTAAAATAATTATTTGAGTGATTGTAGTCCTTAAGTAAAAAATGCTTATCCATCATAGTTTTCTTTTGTTTTAGTCAATTTATATAGTCTAGAAGTTAATCCTTTCAATTTTAATCTTCTTATATTGATATAAAAATCTTTACGTTATTACCAATCATCTATTCACCCTTCACATTTAATGATATAGTAATACATAAATACATAAATTAATTGATAGTGTAAATTTTTCTTATCACAGATGTAAATTAATTAAACTAGCTGCTACTAGCGAGACCTAAATAGCGAAGAAAAATAGCTAAAACAAGGAAATTAAGAAAGGGAAACTTGCTACACTGAATTTGATACTCTATCCTAAGTGCAATCAAGACCATTTTGTACATTAGTAACAATTCCACCGCCATTATTACTATACAACCTACACAGATTTACAAACCAAAACCTCAAGCTTATTCCACACAACACATCTAAATACAGAGACCATATGAACAGTGAACTCATAAACTGATCAACCAAAGAGATTTAAAACTAGGAAGGCTACAGCATCTATGTCAATTGGTATAGATCATCATCATCATCTTCTATATTGGAAGCAGCCCCTAAAGGTGCTTCATCACTCGTGCTGCCAACTTCAGCCTGTAAAAGAATTGAAAAGTTATGCATTGGTCAAAACATGGGCACTCTCATCTCAAGTCAAAAACATTGCCACCTCTGCATGTTTCATTAAGTCCTGTTTTATCTTATACCTGACTCTCATAGAAAAGACAATGCATTATGGAAGCATGATACATAACAATTAGTTATAATTTGCTTTGAGCTTATTTATTTACCTTGGCTTGACGATACATCTCAAGCATGCGGCTATATTGCTGACGAGCATGGGTAGAATGGACCATGGAAAGCACCCGAGAAAAAGCCTTTTCAATTGCTACATGTACTTTCTCTTTTCTGAATACCCTGAGGAAATCTTCGTCATCACTTTCATCCAATGACTCCATCTCTTGTCGGAAACCTCGTAAACCAGCTCCTTTTCTCCGCCATCGTAGCACAACCTTGTCCAAGACTCCAACTGCCCATATTATTAGCTTATAATGTTTCCGAACCTGGTAACCCCTCACATGAGCCTGCCCAAATAAATATACACAAGCCGAGGTTAATACTAAGTTCTTGTTGATGTTTGATGTATGCATGTGCATGTCATGTCTACCTATATCATTTTTATTTTTTATTTCTCTTCTACAAACAAAATTATTTACTTTTCAAAGTATCTAGAGTGCTAATATCTACATACAAAGGTCTCAAAATTTAATTTGTCTGGTAAAACTGTGATAGTATTATCTATTACCTGTATCTTTACTACTTTTTGGCGCAATGCCAAGAATTCTTTGCGACCCTTCCAACCTCGATATTTCTTCTGAATTGATAAGGCAGCTAAGCTCCGAGAGCTAAGTTTTGACATAGGAGGAAGCAATGAAATGGTATCATCAATGCTACCTGCATTCATACCATATCCATCTAGACCAGCAGAAGCCGCGGCAGCTTCTCTCTCTCTCCGTTTTCTGAAAGAAAGTGCTCGAAAAGCAGCTTGTATCAGTGCAGCTGCCAAAGCTGCATTTCTGACAGCTCCCAAGGTATCTTTTAGTGAAACCTGATCCTCACCGGCTACAAGATTATCCTCAGAGACACTACTGACAGTTAACTCGGCTGCCAGCTCAGCGGAACCTTTAGAAATCTCACTCTTTTCCAGGGTGAGGGATGACAGATGGCTTGTTAGATCTACCTCCGAAAGATAACCTGCTAGTCCCTTGTAGCCACTGCTGGCTGCAATAGATGCAGCAGTTTTACCGGTTGGATCTTGTGCAGTTGGATCTGTTACTGCTCCAGCAAATGCACCCGAAGCTATAAGTGAAGCAACCATTTTTTCCCTATCATGGAATAAAACACTTTTATAATGGAACAGCTAATTTATAAAGGATATTGAAAGCAAGAATTTCAATTTTGATATGATCATCATTTATTATAGAATCTTGTCTAATATGGTTTGATCATGTCAGCAGCAGGAGACAAATAGAGGCCTTAGTAAGAAGAATTAATCATATGGAGGATGGCCCGATAAACACAGGTAGAGGAAAACCAAGGAAAACTATAAGAAAAACCATTAAAAAACAGCCTGATTTAAATGGTCTTTCAAAATTTTGGTTTTGACAAAACATAATGGCATTATTTAGTTAATATAGCTAATCCCATTTGGTGAGAAAAAACTTTTGTCGTTGTTGAAATAAAACTAAGAATTTGCTATGATTGGTAAGGCTTTGTTTACATGTTCAAGAATGATTGAAAGTTGCCCAATAATGTCTGAAATGCGAAGCAATCCTGTTAAATGTGGTTATCATACCCTAAATGCAGCCATCAATTTTTAACATTTGACTACCTGGCTAGGTATTGCAGACAGTCCAAACTTTGAAACAACAGAGGATTTAGACATCAGCTCAGGTGTGTATATTCTATCTTTTTTTCTTCTCTCTGTCCTACGGTCTGCATCGCTAAAAATTTAGACTTAATTTATATTTGAATCTCTGAAACATTGATACATCTTTTGAATTTTATTAGCATTTTATGTCATTTAATAGGAGAGAATAAATTTATTCCCCTTCATTTTTCCTTCTTGTTCTCATTCCTTTCATTTGTATTCCCTTCCCCCAAGGATAAAGTACAGATTTCTAAACAAAATTTATCAATCATACTTTGTTCAAAACTTTGAAGCATGGATGCTTTAACTATTGCACACCATCATCAACATCTCCAACCCCCCCCCAAAAAAAAAAAGAAAAAAGAAAAAAGAAAAAAACTAACAATAGTTGATTAATTAACATAATAGCAAGCATTTTAGAGTTTCTATTACCTTCCAAACCGTGCAGCCCAATGTAGAGCAGTCCATCCATTGATGTCACGAAAATTTATATTCACACCACAACTGAGAATGGGGTTCAAGGCCCACTCAAAACCCAACCCAGAAACCATGTGTATAATTCCCTGCTCTTTCTTGGACAAGGAACAGCCTGTCCCTTCATCTCTTTCATGGGATTTGGAAGAAAGCCAGAGCTGCAGCTTATCCTTCAGCAGCTCTTCAAGAAGCCAATCAGTAGTACCAGATGAAGTTCCGCTACCATCTAGAAGAGCCTCTATAATATGGCTCCATGAATCATCATCTGCTTTCTGTTTCTTTTGAAGATCACTTCCAGATTCTATGTTGTCATCTTTTATAGTTGAAGCAGAAACGAGCATTTGTGCAAATTGAACTAGTAATAACAATTCTTGAGGACTTCTTGCAGCTTCTGTTTCCAATGAATCACAACGAGAGCAACTATTGGTCTTGTTACGAAACTCAAATTCCCTGACTTCACTGCAGGGCTCCCGATTTCCTGAAGTAATGCACAAAGTAACCTTTCCAAGAAGATGTGATGGAGCTTCACAACAGATTACACCATCCTGAATGATCTCAGCAGGAACTTCAACATCACCAAACATACAAGCCCACGTAGATTCGAAGGGAAGACAGAGAAATGTCCCAATAATGAAGACCTATGCATAGAACTTGGGAGTTTAATATTCAAATATAGACAGCATTAACAGTATCCGTATCATATCATCCAGAAAAATAAAAAAATAAAAAAATTGGAAGGTGCCCCAAATAGTAGAGTCTTAAAAATCAAAAGCTATGTGCCTGCAAGATATTTCCCTAATTATTATACATATAACTGCACTATACCAAAATAATTTCATAGATATTTCAACCATGTTGTGTATGCATTTTATAGCTCTTCAGGAACATAGGTAAAGCTCTAAGCAGTAAGCAGTAAGCACCAATAAGATTAATCAAAAGGAATAATGTTTCCATCATTCAGAAGATGACATTCTTATACAGAGTCATAAATCATTACATGGGGCATGATAAGAGTTGGAATTGAAAGGCACAAACCTTTGTAGTCTCAGTGGCATAACAGCATTCTGGGGAGACTGCCTTAATTGTAAATTTCTGTTTCTGTGGAACAGTCAAGCTTAACGTATGCAGAGGTTCTTGAATTTGGAATGGGTCAAACAATGTTGCATAGTACTCAGAATTAATTCCTTGAGTTTCTACCAAAGAATATGGAGGAAATTTGACTTCACCAACGTCTGGAGGAAATGAGAAGACAGCTGGTGATATGGGACACAAATCAGAGGTGGAACAAATTTCATTATATGCAAAAAGAGAAATTATCAAGTTATTAAGGTTAAAGTAAGTCATACAATTTTCAGCATTATTACTATTGGAGTTTAGCCAGTGACTGTTTTCCGAGTTGGCAATCAGTCCCCTTTCTGAATATGATAGTGACTTTTCCTGTTTTAAGTATAGAAATTTTATTTTTTGGCAAATCATAAAGGAAAGAAGAACATAAACAGCATTTAATTGACAGCTGTAAATGACACTCACATTTCCAAATGCCTCGCATACATGTTGATCTGGTAACTTGCTCACGGATAAGGGCTTACATGATTCCAGCACCTCCGTCCAAGACAAAGTATTTTGATTTCCATGGGGGCAATCATGGGCAAGCAATTCATGATAATATTCACCACTGTCATCTACAGAAAATAAACTAATTTTAGAAGATTTTGCTTTCCTCTCTTTATTGTAGACATTTAATGATTATACTGCATTGGGAAAACAAACAATAAAGAATTTGTGGAATAAATTGAATCTAATCTAGAGCTGAATGCAACAGTTTGAAAATAAATAAATCAAGGTTTTAAATGGACAAATAACTAATTTACAACGAATACTTCAACAACCAATGTATTAAAACCAGAAAAAAAAATTAATTTAATTTCTCAGGCACAAGAGAAGATAAAGTGATAAACTACTATTTCATACATTACATAACCTAAGGAGTTCTCCACATTAAATATTTAGATTTTAAGACTGTTCCGCTTGGATAACATATTCTTGGTGAGATCCCTTGAGTTCCTTCTGGAGTGATTCCAGACACAAGAAACCTAATTGTGAGCAGTGGTTTAAACCTTTTTTTCTTGTTATTTAATTCACAATAAGCCTCCTACATGTCTTTTAAGAATCACATGAAACAATCAGCATATAACAATTGGGGAATTAGGTTTCACCTAGAGAAATTTTTTCATACAGAGTGGTACCACTACCAAATAAGAAGATTCATGGCTATGATAGCCTTGGAAACTTAATATAATTTTAGCTCAACAGTCATAGGAAATCGGCTGTGAGAGTGGAAGAAGCCACCAGCATTTACATAAGTAGAAGACAAACATCTTTAACTGAACACATCAAACCACAGTATAAGGTAAAAGGCCAATATAGGGATAATAGCTCAAATATTTCACTTACTTAAAGCATGTATAAATTTTACCCCAAAAAAATAAAATAAAAGATATATTAATTATCAATAGTTCAAGTTTGTCTAAATGACCTTGTCTTCCATTATATCCATCATAAGGTTGTCCACAATCATCCGGTCCAGAGAAAGCTGCAGATTTATCTTGCTTGTGAACCACCCTTTGATCTTGGTATGGGATTAAATCATTAACAATTTCATCCTCATTCAAACTTAACTGTTCCTCCAATTGGCGCAAAGCTTGTGCTTCTGTTCCATCCAAGTTATCCATTATGTTGTTACTGATGAATACATCGGAGGTAACTTCTAAGGACCCGGGACTGGAGAAATTTTGAATTGGTTCGTTTGATTCACCAAACATGGAAGTTGTCACTGGGTTCTGAGAAGTAGATGAGCTATGACTCCGACTAAACAAAGAGGAAACTGGTGATAATTGTGTGACAGGTCCAGAATTGGATTTCCCCTGCAACATGCAAGTGTAAACAGTAATGCCAAACTCAAGGGCGGGCTGCACAGATTTACTACTTGTACATTGCCAATATGATCAGATAATTGCCATTTAAAGGCACCTATAATTCAAAAGAAGAATTGAGTATATCGTCATTTAAGTTCTTATGCAATCAGAAAATAAATTAATTAGTTCCGGAAAGCAACAGTACATTCGAGATCCTAAGAATATCAACAATTTTATCTTCCATCAGTTGTCATTACATGAGAGAAAATTTAATAGTAAAACTACATAAGTAATCATAGTCCTCTAGAAAATTGCTGTCCAAAGTGAAATTGGTCTTAAAATTAGGCACTGGCATGTAATGTGTAGGTGTGGTGTCTGTGAAGTTAGAGAGCAATGTAGCTGAACACAAAGAAGAGTACATTTCCGTGGTAGGATATAAACAGAGTTTCAAGAAGTTAAGATATTGAAAATTTGCGTCTAATTCATCACAATCTAGCTCTTCTATGTTATATTATGAGCGATAGTGGAAGAATTATTTTGTAATATTCAAATGTTATAATAGGTGAACATAATACACTTTGGAAACATACATGTTTATTTATTGGAGTGTTTAGGAACAAAATTACAAGAGAGAGAAAGAGAGAGCTGAACATAAAGAAGAAATATAAACAGCTCATTGACTATTACACAAGTCATTCACTGAAAGTAAAAATTAAAAGAATGCAGAAATGTAGTATTGCATAGAAAACACTAAAGAGGATTGAAATTTCACAAGACAAGCAAAGAAATAAATTATTTAATTGAAGTTTCAAACGTGGACACTGAAAAGGGAGGAATGCTTAAAGTAACATTTCCAAAATAGGGTAAGACAGTGAGCCATGTTGCCCAAAAAGGACTACCACCCCCAGTTTTCACATTTCTAACAAGCTGCAAGTACAATTATTAAACTAGTATGTTTATCTGATATCATGTTCTGGAAACTCACCTCACTTGTTTCTCTGTAATGCACGAGAACTATATGCTCATACTCCCTGCCATAAAAAAACAGCGAATGTAAACCGAAGGTTGACTGTGTTTCAACGTCAAGATAATTTTACCATGAAAATTAATATAATATTTAGTCACCTTTAGTATGAGCCTTTCCCAAAAAGTGCATGTTTATACGTAGATTTTAAAAGATACAACATGTAGTAGTAAGCTTAATAATATGAAAGGTGTAAAGAACCTTGGGATACACCACCCCAAAAGTCACATTAGTTGCACATACAACCAATGTGGGACTATATATCTCAACACGCCCCCTCACACGAGAGTCCATTGGGCTAGAAGCGTGGATATTGCACAGGCCCAATTTTTAGTTTACCTTTTTGTGCTTTAATTTTAATTCCACTTTAAAGTGGGGGCTGTGGGGATTGAACTTATGACCTTATAGTCACTCAAGCTGGGTGGGAGTGCTCAAGGTCTTATAAACTCCACATTAGTTGCACATACAACCAATGTGGGACTATATATCTCAACAGGTTTGTAGTCAGCTAATAGTTAAAATTTACTCACGGGTCCAACATCCAATAGCTCCGCCTCTGGAAAGTACGGTTCTCCTCTCCATGTGCATAGTAACAATTTAGGATTTCAACATTTCCAACCTAATCAAGCAGATAATTGTGATCACTCAGATTGAGAAAATCAACATATAGAATTCCATCACAAAATTAATGGTGGCACAAAGGCATCAATACAGCAACAATAAGTGGATTATATTCAAAAAAATATATATTGCTCAATACCAGGAAACCTATTAAATAGAATTGGTTACATCTCAATTCTCTGTTACATCCCATCAAGAGTGCTTAATCAACAATATACTTACCATTTTTTCCAAAAGCATTTTGGAAGCTATCTATGGTGCGGAAACAGACTTGAAAATTGAAAATTCAAATCAGGATCTTTAATTTTTTTGCAAATAACTTGTTTCGACATGTTTGAGATATCTATCAAAGTTTTGAAAAAAATTTCCTAACAATTTAGTAGTGCGGTCAATTTTTCCCGCAAATATACAATTTATGGACTGCATTTTCACCACTCAGATCTACTGTAAACATTTGCAGACATTTGTATTTAAAGCAAGAAAATAAACAAAATCCGAGTAGGAACATATCATGCATACCGATATATTACATGAACAATGTCAAATTATCATTAATCAATTTCCTCCAATTAATAAAAAGGAAAACGATGAAGTAGAAGAAGCTCAAATTTGAACAGGTATGAAAACTTCAAGCTGTTAGTATTGTTCAATTACTATATGTTTCATTTCTTTTTCTGCATAATTCTTATGCGTGATGACAAAAAGAAAGGAGGATTTCGGTCTAAATTAATTTCCAACAGTGCAAATTGTATAATTTACATACAACATATAGCATGTCAAAAGGAGGCAGGTGATAGGGGCTGACATAAGCTGCAGCAAGACACATAAATATCAAATTTTCATTTTCGGGAATTCTAAAGATCATAACACCATAGATACTTTTAAACACACCTTAAGCCTTTCATGTGCTTCTCCCACAGTTTTGCCATCTTTTTTCTTCCGCCAATTATGACCATCTTTACGGAAGAAACGCATGACTCTTTTATTAAATAGAAACAAGGATCCACCTGTTAAGAAAATCAATTGCCAATGTTGTTGACAATCAGTAGTGCAAAAACCAATAAAAAAAACAAGAATCAGAAAAAAGCAGTCGTTTACTTCCTATCATCAATTATAATGAAGAGAATAAGGATGTTATTGTTACCAGTTGGCTGTTGAGGGGGCTGGTGGGTGAACTCGCACTTGTCATGATTCCGTAAAATGTAAAGCACTTCAACAGGCTTGAGCCATCTCTTCTTAGCTTCTTGGTAAAGATCATTGATATTGTATTCGAAACCTGCCATGACAATGTCAAATTAGTCCAGTAATTTACAACTCTTCCTATAATTCCTTTCTTTCTTTCTTCCTTTTTGCGGAATAATCATTTGAAATGGGGATCATGCAGAAGGTTGATGCATTGATGGTGACCACACAGTGTGACTGTTGTTGACTAAGAACTTGAAATCTCTTTTCAATCTCCTTACTACATCATATCACAAGGAAGGACAATAATTGAGTAAACTCAAGGGTCCCTTCTAAAGTAAGCTTATTCGAATTTCACACACACACAGAGAGAAAGTACAAAGTTGAAAAGGGATGGGAAAGTTAAACACAAACACACACACACACAAGCCACAAATTAAACCAATTCAAATTTCACACAAACAATAAATAACCAAAGTAAATGATGTACTTTGCCATCAATTTGATAGATAGTATAGTATATTCGTGAATCCAAACACAACATAGTTGCAATTAAGAAAACTAAGCTAATAGCTAGTAAAATTGGAAAAAGTGAGAGAGGAAGCAATTAATAATGAATATTATGTAGGAATGAGTAGGAGGAGCAGAAAAACATTACCAGGTGGCATTGTAATGGATGTTGAAAAAGGAAAGAAGAACTATAATCAGAGAAATTGTATTTCCATCCACACGCTCAGAGTCAGAACTGAAAAGTGATGAAAAAACAAGCAGAGAAAATGGAGTTTTTGATTCTGTATCAGTTTCACAAACAACAAACACAAACGGACAAACCTAAATGATCAACAACTTAAAAGAGAAGACACTCCCTCAACCCTTTTCTCAGACACTAGTGCTATTTGCTTAAGGTTTGATGACATTTCCTTTTAAACTCTTTTACACATTCAATTCAGATAATGAAAAGCTCAACAACTGTTAGAATATTCGTTTACTGTTCAACTTTTTACTTTTGTCCTTTCTTGTATTATTTTATTAGATAATATATATAATTTAATGTTTTTATTCTGTGAGAGAGGTTATACTTACTACATATTTTTCTTATTACTTGTTACTACTAAATCTTACCGTTGATTTCTGTCAATCTAACGGTTATAGTTTATGAGATCATACTTATTAATTAATTATTAATTTGTAATAAAACATACCCGTTAGATTGACGAAAATCAACAATTAAGATTTAGTAGTAACAAGTAGTAAGTATAACCTTTCTTTTATTTTCACTGCATAAAATTTTTTTCTACCTCACTTACATAAAAACAAATATTACCTATTATAAAAAAAGAAGACAAATATTACCTATTATAAAAAAAGAAGAATAAAATTTGTTGAACCCACTCATTTTTATTTGAGTGTGATAAAAAACTTTTTTCTGCAATAAAAATATAAACATATATACGATTTAACGTTACTCATGTTGCAAAAAATAAATTTTATCTTCTATGCACCTATAAAAGATGTGGGACCCATATGAGGAAAAAGAGAGAAGAGTGAGAAAGATAAAATATGAGTGTCGTACACTTTTATGTGTACACGACGATAAGTTTATTTCCTACAATTTAAAATAATAAATTCATATATATATATATATATATATGAGTCCCATTTTTCTACAGCAGTGAGAGAGAAACAACGTCTGTCTCATACACAAAAAAAGGTATCCACGAGTGTTTTTTTTTAAAAAAAATTATGTCTATGTCAGTAAAAACTATTTATGTAGCAATGACAGAAATAGTTTTGCGTATATATATATACACACACACGTGTGTGGCATGTTCTTTTTATATCATTGTAAGACTAATAAGTCTTATATCACATTTCAATTGTTGATGGATAAAAATCATTAGTTGGTATTTGTTGTGTAATGGTTGGTATTTGTTGTGTAGTTAATAATTAATTAATATTAATTAATTTATATGGCTTCCTGAATTATATATATAGGGCATGCTAGAGAGTGATATAATAACCTATCTCATGTTAAAAATATGATCATTTTGCTTAAATGATATAAAGTTGTATTTTTTTAAATGAACTTTTTAGGAAATACATTTTTTCCTTTCAAGGGAGAAAATTTTTCTCATGTTAGTGACTCATAGCATAAGTGAATTCCACCTTGAAATTTTTTTTTTCCACTATTTTGTGGACCCCACTTATATTATGAGTCACTAACATGAGAAAAAAAAATTTCATTTAAAAGGAGAAAATGTTTTTCCATTTTTTTAACTAGATAATAATAAATTTCTTTAAAAAAATTGTAACAAAATAATAGAATTTCATGTAAATACATAGATTCATAGCGTTTTTTTTTAAGGCGTATTATACTAATATAATTATGTCGCGGGAAATTTCGGTACTCCGATTAGGACGAACCAATCGCAGTTTCAAGATTTCAAGTGGGACTGTGTGAACAAATATTTATGTGTGTGTACGCGACTGGGTGGGATGGCGACGTGAACTCGTGAAGTGGTGTGTACAATAAATGGAATTAGATGGTTTTTATTTTATTTTTGATAAGTGATACAACAATCTTCACCATTACTGAAAATATTTTGCTAGGTGGGAACGTGAGAAGTTGGAAGTGTGTTACAAACTTACTTGCTTGTCGTTGCCTTGATGTTTGAGTTGACACTGACTTCAACACCATTCATTGTGTTTCTCACATGCAAATGCAGGGCCATATGCTTGTAAAATGATGATGAATGTTTTCTATGTATCCAATAGTCAAGATTCGAGACTCAGAATCCCAACTTGATAAAAAAGATGACAATAAAATATCCACATTTTTCTTCTTCTTTTTTCCCTATTGGATATTCAATTTATTCACACCAACTCTATGGTTATCCACTTGTTTTTCCTTTGATCCTTTATTTACCTGTCTGCCAGTCACAATGTGAGATTGTAATAGAATACCTACAACAACTCAAAAAAATAAAAAATAAAAATACAACTTGCTCATTGCAATTATGTCCCACACAGAATACGATCCTTTATAAGACTAGGTGAACAGCAACAGACAAAGTGGGTGACTTTGACGAAGATGGCAATATTTTATTTACAAAATCAAGTCAACTCTTATGCTTGAGAGGGATTAAAAATTAAGAAGCAAAAGAACGTGTGTTCAGAAATCTACAGGTGATTAGAGATCATCCAGTTTATGAAAGTGAATGAACTTATTGAGAGTTCAAAAGGTTGTATTCATTCATCTTTTCTCACATTACAAGAACATGCCTCTTCACATATAACTGAAATATATAATGATAAAACTGCTAGGACGAATCTAGTGACGAGGATTTGGATAGTTTGTATTAAGTTATATGTTCAATTTTCATCATTGTATAATATATATATATATATATATATATATATATATATATATATATATATATATATATATATATAAATATATATATATAGATAAAATCATTTCTATAGTCGTTTTACATACAACAACAACAACATGTAAATGGTTATGATTCTCCATATTTAATGTTTTCATCTTTTGTATGGTTATGATTTTCTATATTTAATATTTTCATGTATATATATATATATATATGGCATGTGTTTGACTGTTGCACGTAATATATATATATATATATATATATATATATAATGATAACAGTTAAGGGAATTGTGAACATCAATAGCAAATAAGGCACCTCTTAGGGATGATACGGAACAAGTTAGATTTATATAAGATAATTAGGAAATAGGTGCCTATGGAGAATCAAGCATCATCATTCAATATAAGAAGCAACAAGTAAGGGGCAACAAAAATTAAAGGAAAATATACTTGCACATTTGTCTTGAATTTCAAGATTAATTAAGCATGTGAATCAAGAATTATTCTAGCATAACCGGTGTGTGACTAGCTTGTGTTGCATGGATTTTTTTAATATGCACCCGGTACATAATATTTTGAGTGCTCCTTTTCTCAAAAAATAAAAGTCTTTTTCATTTTTATCCTTATTTTTTTTTACATTTCTTCTCAATCCTTTTTTTCTTCCCATTTTTAGATAAGGCTCACCAAGTTCAGGATCACCAAAAATGAGCTCGTGTTGCACAGCTAAAACGTGGTCAACGAATTGGGCGTAGTCTATCCCGCACAGCCCATGATTGGTTGACATTTTGATAGCCCACTTTGTCGGCCCCACCAAAGTATGTAGATTGCTAATTTGTGCTCTTTGTATTCCGTTACAGTTAAAGGTTCATATGACTGTTAGGCCCATAACTTGGGCTCTTTGACCGATGGGGTTTTTTGTGATGTTAATTTATGAATTTGGTATTTGGTCGAAGGTATTTACGAATTGGGGTCATTTAGTGACGCGAGGGGGACCCAGCGTCACTGAGTGCCGCTACCATCCCCTCGCGTCACTCTCATTTTTTTTTATTTTTTTTTACTTTTTTCTATTGAGTGCCGCCCCCCTCCCCTGGGGCATTCACAGAATTGTGCCAAGTGGCACAATCTGGTTACTCCTATTACTGTAAAACTTCGGAAGGCCATAACTTTTGACTCGGGTATCCAAATCAGATGATTTTTTTTTTGATTTCACATAACTTTTCGAGATCTACGCAATGACATCTCATTTGACATATTTTATCTTCCATTAATCTGTAAAAAAGTGTAATTAGTGTTGCACATTTGAACTATATTAATGGAAGATAAAATATGTCAAATGAGATGTCATTGCGTAGATCTCGGAAAGTTATGTGAAATAAAAAAAAAAATCATCTGATTTGGATACCCGAGTCAAAAGTTATGGCCTTCTGAAGTTTTACGGTAATAGGAGTAACCAGATTGTGCCACTTGGCACAATTCTGTGAGTGCCTCAGGGGAGGGGGGGCGGCACTCAATAGAAAAAATTAAAAATAAAAATAAAAAAGTGAGAGTGACGGGAGGGGATGGTAGCGGCACTCAGTGACGCTGGGTCCCCCTCGCGTCACTAAATGACCCTCGTTCGTAAATATCTTTAACGCAATACCAAATTGATAAATTAACGAAATTAAAACCCCTAATAGGTGAAAGAGCCCCATAACTTGCGTCTTTTGTTATTTGGGCTTAGCCCCCCTTTTTCTACATAAAAAAATTTATTATATTTACAAATAAATTGTTTTATACCTTACAAATATGTGCACACTATGAAAAGTATTTGTTCATCTTGTAATATAAAACTTTTTACTTTCTAATAATTTAAAACATTGTATAATAACATTAAAATAAAGAATCAGTTACACATATCAAGGTTGAAAATCGTTTTTATGATATTAAATTTAAGTAATCTCATATAAAAAAAACACTTAGATAAGTTTACAAAAAATTAAGTAACTCTACAAACAATTTTTTTTTTTTTAATTTGTATTTCATTAATATGGTTGAAAAAGCAATATATATCGAAGCATTACTTATAATATTAAAGCTAAACATAGGTGGCTATAATTCCTTGCTTCAAGATGACATAATGCAGGGTGGAAGGTAATTAAAACAGAGAGTTGTTACAATGAACATGTGAAGCAAGTTATTCTTAATCCAAATCGAAGTCCAATCTCAATGACAAGCACCACGTGCACAGTGGCAGTGAATCCCAAGTAGCTTAATCACCTAAGCTTCCACCCACACCTACATGCACAATACACACACATATATATATATATATATATGTTATCATTCGTTGCTGTGCAGAACCAAACTCTCTGCGTTCAAGTTGCACTTATATATCAATATATACATACATTAGGTAGCTCAAGTTAGAAGAATGTTAAACTGGGGTCCAGTGGTAGTGGCAGTGGTGCTGTTCGTGCTATTAACGCCGGGGCTACTATTTCAGGTACCTGGACGTTCAAGGTGCTTGGAGTTTGGTAACTTCCAGACAAGTGGTGCTGCCATACTCGTTCACTCCCTCCTCTATTTTGGTCTCATCTGTGTATTCTTGCTTGCCATTAAGGTCCACTTTTACATGGGCTAGGATTCATGCCCGCCAAATCGAACAAATTTTTAGTGCAATTGCTACTCATTGCAGAGGCGTGGTATTATAATTATGTATTTTTAGAAATATATACTTTATAATATTAAAATTATTTTTTATTACGTTAGTCGATAAAAAAATATTTCTCAAGAGAGAACAAAAATAAACTTTAATATTATAAGAGATATATTATTCTACTTATTATTTTTTCTGTCTACTTTTGTCTGTCACTTTCCAATACCGTTTCATCAGAATCTTAACTAACATTTATCTTTCTCTCTCTTCTTGAGATTCTGATATAACGGTAGTGGAGAATAATAGGCAAAGATAGACAAAAAAATAGTAAGTAGAATAATCTATATCATATTATAATTATATATTTCTTAAAGTACATAGTTATAATAACACCGTTGCACTAAAAATTTGTTGCGCAAAATCAATATGACATGACAATGACATCATTTTTCATTTCGGTATAGAATTTATTCATGTTTATGTTTGCTATGTTCCCTTTCTTGTTATTGCAAGTACTTACCAATGGGTGAAGTCGAGTCTTTGTATTCTTATTTTTTTTTTATCTTTATTATTTAATTTTTATTGGTACTATAGTTCGGTCTGTTCATGTGTGATGTGCCTCTACGCTCTTTAACATATATTATTAAGAAATGTATCTTTTTGCTCAGAAATTGAGTTCAGAGCTGTTCTATATCATTTACGTGCTTTCGGTTTCATGTAGAATATTTTCGTTTTGGATTATATATAGTAGAGGGAGTAATGATTAACTTAAAATAGAAGCATTCGAATCAATTCACGGCCTGAAATCTTTCGGAAGAATGTTTGGGAACTTTCCTTTCTCGTCTATTTCCATGTGCTTGGGACTTGAGAGTTTTGATTATGGCTTGAAACCAGAGCCTCTAACTCATGGTTTAGAACTTCTCCAAACGTGATTTTTGTTTTTTATACACACACACACACACACACAAAGTTTACTTATTTTTGATTAAATGTAATTTTATTTCTAAACGCATGTTAGGATAAAAACAAATATACATTTTTATTACCAACTTAGTTTCAAAGTAATTAAAAGTTTCCAAATATAAATTATTTCACTATATTTTTTTAATTAAAATTGATAATGGTAAAAGCCATGAATATGGTGTAATTCTTCACCCAGGGCGCTTGAGATTATGGCAGATCCCTTACAAGTGGGCCACCATTCACTAACGATGGGAGAGGTGTAATCTTCGAATTAGTTTTTTTTGGATAATCATATTTTTTTTTGGGTAATTGTAATGTTCGAATTATAGTACAAAGCAAGTTCAATACTAATTTATTTTCCCTAATCTGCTATTTATACTGGGTTTAGTATAACTTTACCTCACACATTGCGGGATATAACTTCATTTCTAGCTTAAAAGAAAAACATTAAATCCATTTTATATTAGGGGTGTGCTAAAAAAAACTAACTGTATTTAAGATAACTAATTTTTAAAAATCAATTCATAATCGAATTAGTTTTTAAAGAACCAATTCAAATACTGAACCAAATCAAATCAGTTTCAAATTGAATGAAACCGTTTTATTATTTTATTTCTTTAATTTTTTTATTTTTTATTTTATTATATTTTCAAAAACCGAACCATTTAAATTAATTCAATTTCGTTGTTCAAAATATTCAGTTGAATTCCATCTTTGCACATTCCTCATTCAAATCATGCTCCCTTTGCAACACACAGGATTATATAAGCCATGTTACATATTCCCAAAGGATCGCGTAAGCCATGGAAAAATCTGGTTGATTGGCTCCTTGGAAATTGGGAACGGAAAACATTGGGCATGATTAAATTTTGTTTTCAAAAATAGTTTTTAGATTTTCAGAATAAAAAAACATATTTGATAAGATCTATTTTATAAAAATAATTCTAAGAATTATAATTATTTTCTAATTTTTAGAATTAAATTTAGATAACATATCTGAGTGTTTTTTATTTTATATTTTTACTTTTAACTTTCAAAATAAAAAAGTATACAGAATACATGTTTCATTAACTATTTTATAAAATAATTGTAAGAAAAAAAAAACACTTTTTTTAGGGTGTGTTTGGTACAGGAGAAATTTTTTGGTGACCGGGAATCATGATTAATGGGAATTCAGTAGAAATTGAGTTTACTTGGAATCTTACGAAAGATGTGTTTGGTTCGCCAAAATATTACCGGGAATATTGGGTAAAAATTATTGATTCCATATTTGGTTTAGAACGAAATATGACTTGGAATATGAGGTTATTTTACAAAAATAACCCCAAACTATTTTTACTTTTGTAATTGATAGATTGGGTCTAGATTTTTATGTGTATTGGAGTATTTTTGTCTCAAAATTTATTGTTGTGTTTTTCCTTTACTTGGTATTCTGATTGGTATTCCGAATTACCATATTATTTTTGGTAATCTGAATAGTGACTTTTCTTTATAAATCAAATTACCGGTAATCCTTGGATATCCGGGAATCGTAATTTATTCCTTCTACCAAACGTGGTAATTACATTTACCAAAGAAGAATTACTGGTAATCCTCTCCAAAAACTTGAACCAAACATCCCCTTAAGGATTAATAAAAAAAGTTGCTGATATTATAGCTTAATGAGTCGTGTGTTGTTGATATTATGCCTTAATGGGCTGATTGTATTGAGAGACCATGTACGGGGGTGTAGGTGTTTCTCTGTGATTTGTCTCTTTCAATAATTTCAGGTTTCATCATTTCTTCTACCTTTGTTGGGCTTGGATATCTGTTTTTTGGTAAACATCTGCTTTTCAGTTCTCTTGTTTGGTGTGTTGTGTTTGCCGTTTTTTGATGGTTAGTTACTTCAATGCATAATTAGAGAGAGATAATTTTGTGTAAATTGTGTATATTAAGTCAACTAATAAATAATATTATCATTATTTTTACATAAAATATTTATCTAATACATACATTTATATATAATTATTTGATAATAATTAATTTAATAAACATAAAGTTTTATAAACTAGGTATATATGGGAGTTTCTCCTCACGACTCAAAATAACAAGTCAATGTTCTATTAAAAAAAATAAAATAATAACAACTCAATGAAGTCAAAACTCAGAACCATATTTGGCCAAAGAAAATTTTTGGAGTAAAACCAGTTGTTTATTCTCTTTATTTCTTTATATGTATATTATTATGGATTTTATAAAAGTTATGTTGTAGGAAAAGTGATTATGTTATGTTATAGAGATTCGTTTTGCGTGCCGAAGTTTTTTTTTTTTTTTTGCTGCGGGCCCCACAAAATATTGTGTGTGTAAGAAGCTTTTTGTGGTCATGTTTAATGATAGATGATAAACTCTATTATTATATGTGAAAGAATGTATTATTAATATAATTCTAAATCCTACTGAGAAAATAACAAATTAAGTAATTGTTTATTCTCCCATAACATTAAGGGCGAGAATAATGAAAATAATAAAGATAACTTGAAGTAAATAGGGGAGAAGTTGGGTCCTCACGAAATCTTGGATTCAATACCATTGTCATACGAGTTCATCTTACAATTTCTGTAAACCACGAGTGACTCGATAATAGGTCTTGTGACCCTTCAGTTCACTCATTCCCATTCTCATGATACACTTTTCTTTATGTTACTTTTCAATATATCGTTAACGTATCTATATTATAATTAACTTATAATTAAAAATAATTGTAAATTAAAAAATATAATTAAACATGCACCAATTTTAAAGCTGAATCCAATCTCAATACTAGAATCTTTCAGGTAGTGTTTGATTGGGGAGAAATTTGTTAATACTAGAGAAATATAAATACTAGGGATCTGAAAAAAAGTAAGTTAGATAAAAAAGTTTTAAAAAAGTTATTTGGTTGGGCAAAATTTTATCAAAAAAATTGAATTAAATTTTTGAATGTGTGTTTGGTTGAAAATAAAATATTGATAGGAAAACTTAATGAAATTACAAAACTATCCTCGTAAAAATGAAACCGTTTTATTACATCCTTCTAACACAATAGGGGTAAACTTGGCATGTCATTCATCAGCTTTTTCACTTATCCGGTTTTGAAGAGAAATTGCACGTCTTCAAACGCTTTCTCAATAGTGAAGATATCCGATTTTTGGTCCTCTTCTTGGTTTGCTAGGAAAGCTCTTTGATGGGTAAAGAAACTGAAAATCTTCTTCCCAACCAAGCACTACTTCAAGGAATAAACATCACCGACACTATTGTATAATAATATATATCTTCGTATTGCGTTGCTACACATGTAACTGTATGAATTCAACACTAGATATCTTCAGTTAAAATATACGATGGACGGATATAAATATATAGAGTTATATTTACAAACTATACTATGTATTTCTGGAAGAACATTAGGTTATACTATATTCTTCCGGAAGTACATAATGTAATATTTATAAAAATTTATAAAAAAAATTTGTAAACGAATTTTTGCCTTAAATATATATAGAAATTATTTTTTATATAATTATTTAAATAATAAAAACCTTAAACTGTAAACGCAAAAGAATTTTTTAACCTCCAGACTAAGGTTGTCGTGTTCACCCACGGCAATGGTCTGGAATGTTACTCAACAGCAACGTGTCAGTGTCATTCGTCACATTTCAACTAAAGAGACAAAAAATAATTGATTCGATCTTATCTTGCAAGAAAGTTCAATTAATGAAAAGCCATAATACGAAGAAGGAGATTCAGGATATGCTGGCACGTAATGGTTGCTTTAACAATTACTCTACCCTACAAGGCACCTCACCTCCGACAATGACATGCACATAAACACAAACTAGCTATTTTTTTTTTTTTTTTTGCTTAATTTGTAAGTTTAGTTGAATAATAAAATCTTGAGTTTATGCTCCTTTTTATTCCATTTATTCTTTGCTTGAGTTACCCCCGAATCAGTTACCATTCACTAAAGGGTACTAATAGAGTTGTGTGTTGTAAAAGACAAAGCAATTAATAATGGCAGATTGGGGTCCGGTGGTGATAGCGGTGGTGCTGTTCGTGTTTCTAAGCCCTGGTCTTCTGTTTCAATTGCCAGGGAGGAACAGATTGGTGGAGTTTGGGAACATGCAAACCAGCGGGGTTTCAATATTGGTTCACACTATCATCTTCTTTGGCCTTATTACAATCTTTCTTATTGCTATTGGGGTGCATATCTACACTGGTTAAATCACCGCAACTCTTTTATTTATGGGAAAAATGTTTGCGTTTTTCATTTTATTCCTTTTTGTTATGGTTTAAATTTTATGTTTTTCTTATAATTAATTTAAGAGTAAGTGATTGTTTTTTCACTTTTTCTCATACTCATGGAATATTCCTTGTACTTACATCTTTTTAAATGTTTAGATTTCTTCGAGATTCCAGAGGGGGAACAATCTTGAATTCCATAGAATTGAATCACCTGCACACACACTGATATCATATGAGATTATGAGTTTGTGTTCTATGCTTTGCTGTTTTTTTCTTCAATCAATTAAATTACGGATGGATCAATTTATGTTTGCCTATGCTTTTTATTGTCTGACCCTTATTTTTTTCCCGTTTTGTTTGAATGTAATTAAACACACACCAAAAAAAAAAAAAAAAGAAGAAGAAGAAGAAGGAACAAAGTCTTTTTTCAATGGCTAACAAGTGTTTTAAACTACGTAACAGAATACCACATCAATTTTTTTTTTTAAAGAACACTTTATGATGCAATTATTCTGTTTAAGTATCATTCGTTTAATAATTTTTTTTGTTTTGACAATAAAATAAGCATTAAACAAACGTGGTTACCCAATAATTTAATGGAATTTCATGCGAGTTGGACATTTTTTACATGGATAAATTTAGGCTTCAGCGTTTCTACCGTGGATGTAGATAAAATTATCTATATTCATTTTTAAAACAACGACATTTTAGGTTGAAAGATTAAAAAATTATAACGAAAAGATTATTATATTTTTAAAATAAATTATAATTACAAAACTAATTTGATTTTCTTTCCAAAACAATGTTATTTTGGGCTGAATGTAACTACAGAAAAAACAAATTCATAAATTTAAACCTAAACAATTTTATAAGGATTCATATAATAACAAAAATAATTTGAATTTCATCCAAAATGATGTTATTTTGAACTGGATGTAAATAAATTATTTATATTAACTGCAGAAAAAATAAATCGACAAACTTAAACCTAAACAATTTTATAAGGATTCATATAATTTAAAGATTAAATATTCTTTTGAGTCCCTAACAAAAAATGCAGTCTCCACTTTAGTCCCTTACAAAAATAAATTAGTTAGTTAATCCCTAACAAATTCAAAGTGGACCCATTTTAATTCTTTTGGGGGACTAATATGAGTCTTTTTTGAATTTGTGAGGAACCACAATTTCAACTAAATAAGTCCATTTTGAGTTTATTAAGAACTAACTGACTAATTTATTTTTGTAAGGGACTAAAATAGAGATCGTACGACCAAAAAAGGTATTTACTGTGATTTAAATATCAGTCGAATCCTTTCGTTCATAGTTTTCTCTCTACCCAGCGACTCGAGTGTTCATATTCCTTCACTTCTTCTATTTCTTTCTTAAAATATTACAGTTCCATAACAGAGAGAACAAAAGGAGCACGTGCCGTACAAAGGGTAAGTCAACAAGCTTACAGTCCACGTTACATAAATTTTAGTTCGATATTAAATTTTGAAGTTTCATAGAAAAACTTTAAAACAAACAGTAATATAAACAGATTCAACAAGTTTAAACCTTCATTATTCTGGCAACATAAACTTCAATGACTAGAGATTCCACATTATTTGTATTTTGTACAAGAAATTTTTTTATAGATCAAGCGCGACATTACTCCATTACTCCTTTTTTTTTTTTTTTTTTTTGTATTACATCCAGATATCCCCACAACCGATAACCATGAGACTAATCCATCGTCCCGGATCAGCGCACAAAGCCTTAAAGATCTGGAAAATATAACATAAGAACTGACATTGATCCACATCAACAACCCTCTGATAGCTGTAATATACGCAAATAAACAATTTCAGCTGCTATAGACATAGCAACCATCCGATTCCAAATATTCTTCTTAATCCCGTACAACCCCTGTTCCCACGAGTCAAATCATATTTTCCTTCTCTTTCTATAGAATATGGCATATGTTTAGAACTGAGGAAAAGGAAATTCAAAAGCCTAAGATTAAGATATTATGGAAGTGCCAATAAAGTTTAATAAAATGACAGATAACGGAAGAAGGAATCCGGGAACAACCCCTCAATACCTAGGGCAGTTCAATTTTACTTGGCTATCTCTAGTGCACAGAGAATCCATAGCCACAAGGTCTATTAACTTCAAATCCAGTTTCCACGATTCCTGCATCTATAATAAGAGGAGAAGCTCCGTAATCTTTAATGTTTAATAGGTTGCATGAGGCAACACAAAACGCAACACCATTCTCCTCAATTTCATTCACCATTTGTCACTTCACAAAAGCTTCCACGCTGCAACACAAAAATTCAGTATTGATCCGTCAGGCTCGTCATACAAAGAATAATAGTTAATTGAAAATAAAAACCCATAATGAGTGATACAATCAGGGCTAAGTGCCCGCTCAAGTTAAATAAAAACCAGCAGAGGGGAATTCAAAACGGACGAACATTGAAATTTACAGGAAAAACCTGATACTTGAGCCTAGTCTTTTAAGAAAACAAAACTACTACAAAGCTTTCTTTTTGAACTTGGAAGCTCATTAGCTGTAGTTTAGTTAGGCTGTGAATCAAAACCAATCTATGGCAAAAAGCCGAAGAAATCAAAAAAATAAAATATAATAATAATCAAAGCCAAGCAAAATTTACAGACTTAGCAAGGCTGAGGCAAATATTGAAGTGCCAGCTCCGGCCTATATGTGTGACATCCAAAACTTCTCTTATTTGGAATGTTTTGTTCAGGTAAATGAATAATGTTGGTATACAAAAAAATTATTTACACATTCCTCAAGAGTCTTCTGTAAGAGCCACTCTTTAACAATTGTATTGAAGCTTTTCTAATGTCTCACTCAGATTTCGTGCAATCTCCTCACAAAGTTGTATAACAAATTAATAGTAATTTCCCAATAAGAATATTAAAAAAGCAAGATACGACTTACTTAATTTACATTCTAAATTATTTCAGAAAAAACTAACATTGCATAACCTTCCTTTCTTTTCTTTTTTCTAATGTTCATAAGAGGCTATACAGTTTGGTATTCTATCCCAATTTCATAAAACTCACTTTACTGCCTCAACAGAATATGAACAGAGAATTTTTATGATTAAGTTTCTAATTCTCCACCATAGGTGCATCCCTTCTAAAAAGAAAACTACATATCCAAACCTAATGAAAAGAAACCACTCCCCAATTAAACCCCTACTTGCCAGGGTAGGGGTAACAAAAAAAAAAAAAAACTTAAACATAATTCCTTTCTTATTAACCAGTGACCCCTGCCCCGAAAGAAAACCATAAGCACAATACAAAAACGGTGACAAAGTTTGTAACCACATCCAAAGCTTGATAATAAATAAGAATTGCATTTGCATCCTATGCTATCCTCTTTTCAACTTTTTGTCTCCATTTTGGTAAAAATTAAATTCATTATTTACACAATATTGGATTGTGACTTGTGAGGTTATTGAGAATTCAACAATAGCTGAGGTGGGGATACCAGACATCCATGTTGCTGCAGTACAAATTGCCTTTTAAGAAGATAACATAATGAAACTTCAATGCTAGAAAAAGCCAAACATGTATACGGTATGAAATGTACAAAACTTTCAATTCTCTGAAAGTGAAAGATGTCACCAACAAATTTTGTCTAACTAAACTAAAGCACTGCAACCCTGAATTCGCTCAACGAAACCGTAGGTTCTATTGGAAGAAGGAAAAATCTGCCGACGGCCTAACCAGCAAAAATTCTAACTTTTTAATTTGAAAGTTCCATTCTTAGAACAAAAGAAAGCACCTCAAACAGAGAACTGAACAGTTTGCATCCTATTTCTTTTAAATAGGTGAAAGCTTTCCGTGTAAAAAGAAAAAGCAAATCGTCAACCTTCCTTTTTTGTTCCCTAAAAACACAGCCCAACACATTATAGGGTTTAATTTTTCGAATGTTCGAAGAAATAATTTTATCTCTATCCCCTGAACATATAATCTCACGTGGCATCACACATTTTTACGTCAATAGAAGATAATTTTATCTTGTATGAGAAACGTTAATCCCAAAAATATAATAGAATCCCTTCGTAAAATCATTGAATTAGAAGCACGAATCAAAATCCTAAATAGAAAAAAAAAGCCTCATAAATCATAATAATTCACGGGAAACAAAATAAAATAAAATATCCACTTACAAGAGCAAAAGAAAAAAAAAAAACACAATCTTCATACTCCAAATTCCAATTTCCAACAAATAGTAGTAATTTTTCTTTTTCTCTTTTAGCGAGAAAAAAGCAACGATTTCTTACCAGGAATATCCTTACGCGGCGGCGTGGCATAACAGAGAATGGAACGACCAAGGTCGGAGAGACTTGAGAGGATTCCGGCGACGTAGAAGACCATGACTAATCCGAGAACCCACGGCATCAACATGAATCCAATGAAGAACGTAACCGATCCACAGAGCATCAAAGCCACCGAGATTCCGAGAAGCAAGGATGCAAACCCCGCCGGCGAGATCTGAGGCATCGGACGCCGTGACGGCGGCGCCGGAGTATGATCGGAGAAAGTTAACGGCGTCGTAGGGGATCGAATGAGGTTGAGAACGAGAGCCGAAAGCTCGCACAAAGCCCTAGATTGCTCATCTTCCTGTCTTGTTCTCATCATCCCAAAATCAAAGAAACAAAAATTGGTGGGAAAAATGGGAATCAAAACGAGGCAAATGGATAAACTCAGGTATTCTTGGATTGGAATTGGAAAGAAATAGTGTTATGACGGCGAAAACGTTTTGTTTTGTTTTGTTGAAAGAAAGGGTCAGAGAAAATGGTTCCAATCAAACGATAATTGATACGTAAATGAATGAAAATGAAATGATAAAGCGAAACAAAGGGATTTTGGATATTAAAAAACAAAAAAAAGGGTAAAGTGATTTTGAAAAGTGAAATGGGTTGGAATGCCAAGCAAGAAATGAGGGTGCTTTATCTGGAACCAAGCAATAAGATGAGATTGGTACACGTCACCATGATACATAATGCACGTTCCATAAGGTTGTATCCACATGGCAACATTTAATATTTCTCGTGTTTATCTCCTACATATATAAAGCTATTTGGAGTTTATATTATGAAAACGGCCCGTTTGGGCTAGCCCCTCATTGTAATGGTGGGTGCACTAAGCTTCGCAACTGAAGAAAGGACGAGACTAATCCCCAAACCGAAGATTTTTGTCTTATCCTCTGGTCCCCAAAGATTTTTCAAGAAACTGTTTGAGGCAGGGTTTGATCCCTGCACCAAGCAATCCCTTGGGAGCTCAGCTGCCAACTGAGCTACCTTTGGAGTTAAGTGTGTGTCATTTTAAAGGATATAAAATTATGTTATTTTAATAGAGAGAAAAAGATATATAAAAAAGAAGAGAGAGTTGACAAAAAAAATAAAAATGTGAGTCTTACCTCTTTATGAGAGTAAAATGATGTAAATTGTGTCCTTTAAAAGAATAAACACTTTTTCCTTATATTATTTTTTTCTTTTTCATTTCATCTCATATGAATCTATATAACTTCAATATATTTATGTGTATATAGTAGTATGAAAAATATTAATAGAAGCCATATTCTCAACAGTCAAAATTTTATTTAAAATTATGTGTATATCAACGCATTTCAATTTTATTAAACAAAATATAAGAATGTTTCCGTGACGTGGGACCATATCTTCTTCGAATCTTAATTAATTGCATTTTCCATATATTGCGCCTCTTGGACTTGGTCTTGGCTTTGGTCTAAAGGTTCATTTGCCTACCTCAATAGATAACAATAACATGTTATTTGACGTGAAATATAAGTGTCACCGTAAACTAATTAACGATCAATACATGAGTAATTTAATTTCTATAAAGGTAAATTTAATTATTGGAATACATTGTGATATATATTAAAAGATTGCACTTAAAATTCCCCAACAATTCAAAGCCACCGTTTCGTTACTTTTAATTATTGGATACGCACAAGGGGTTTGCTTTTGGCCCACACAGGACATAGCCTACACTTTAATGTTTCCAAACTCTAAATGTCAGTGGTAAAATTATATATATACAGAGTACATACAGACTTCTCATTCACAAATTCTTTATAGAAAAATAAACGAATGATAGAGGAGAAACACATTCATTAATTTGCATTTAAGTAGCTATTTTTTTCACCACTTAATTATTATTCTGTGAGAAGTTGAAAGTAAAAAATTTGTAAGTGCATCATTTCATATACAAAGTGTTCACATCCATCAAATAATAGAACAGAAAAAGGTTAGAACATTTTTTTTTTTTTTTTTGGTAAAAATAAAAAAGTAAGCTAAACCAAATTAAGTATTATTGTCATAATTGAGCAAACTAGCTAGGATTGAAAGATAAATACTTTACCTGCAAACAATTGTAATGAGCAAATTAAACATAGTGGGTATTGTCATAAGGGAGCAAACTACTAGGGCTCAGAGAAAAACACTACTTTTAAAGAGATGGCACACGCAAAAGTGTGAGGTCATTCATAGATATTACAATGTAATGTAAGGCAAATGGGTGCAAACAATTGTTTTATTATGGAAAGGGAAAAACTAAAGAGTGATATCGAAGCAAGGAGTTGCAGTTTATGAAATTAAGCGCACACACAAAAACACTGCTTACATTGTTCCTAGATGGTAGACACTTGTATAAGTCCATTACATGCTATTACAAATTTCCTTTTTTTTCCTTTCAAATAAAATTGAAGCAGCAGGATCTTTACGTTTCACACTTTCTCTATCATGGTAACCATCCTGCCATGTAATTATTCATGCTTGGGCCTGCAGTCACCACTGATACTGGATCATGCTGATATCTGCGCTTAAACAAATTTCAACAATGTTAAAAATATATAATTAAAATCTAAATATGATTCAAGATTGTGCTTTCAGCCAATCACCCCTTGATTAAGATAATTAATGATTGCAAAGTATAAATCAACATGCACTAGTGCAAAATACATTATTTATAGTTTATTGTGTATATCAAATCCCAACAACTATGCATGCATGCCAGCATATATAATTGATCCCTACAACAAATACCTTAGTACCCTTGAAACAGTATGGAACAATTTAGAACCACAACTAAGGATCAATTTTGTAATGAAGAGTAAATACCCAATTTGTAACGTTGGCTCACACTCCAATGGTTGAAAGAGAGCATCACCCTGGTGGGTTTGACCTGGATGTCGGCCATATCCCATATCTTCTGCACTAAGATTCAGTTGGAGTGGATTTATTTGATACCCTTCTAGCTGCAAAATAGCAGCACAAGAGTCGCAATCATTAACCCCTAAAATTTCAATAGTATTTGAGAAGCGCATATTAATTGTAACACCAACTAAAATATCACTTTTCACCAAATTTTTTATTCAAATGTCACGCGAATAGTATTATTTTTCAATATGCCACGTGGGCAAATTTGCTGAGCACTGTAACGAACTCAGTTTGCTGACGTGTCACGTTTCTAGTGCATTTGAAAAATAACACTGTTCGCGTGATATTTGGATAAAAAACTTGTTAAACAGTTTTTGGTCACTGTTTCCTTATTAATTTGTGCATTCGAAATTGATTTTGCTTAACCATATCTTCCTGGAAATTGTTTCGTCCATGCATGTAACCCTTGGTAACTCTATTTTCCTAATCTTAACCTATTATGTCATTATTCTTTTTTTAAATGTATGAATTATAATTCAGGACTATGAACCGTAATTTGAGCGATTATTTAATTTTAAGCTGGTTGAAATATTTCTTACCCTTTGTCTGAGAGCTCTGTTTGCCTCACTTAGCAAGTGTTCCTTCACAGGTGGCATACACTGGTGAGCTGGGGGAGGAGCTTGAGGAAAAAGTTTGCAAACTTTAACAAAAGAAAAGGAAAATTGTTCTCATACCTTACGTTGAAGATCAGTGAGCTGATCCAGCATGAATTGGGTCTGTAGAAGAAACAAAGTTACAAATACATATGCACACATTCACAAACCGGGAGAAAAGAGTTGATACAGACGACTCTCTCAGGGATGTAAGAGTGTTTTTACGTTGATAACTTGATATTATATACTTTTTGAGAAAGATAAATTCATTTCTAGAATATTCATTTTTCCATATTAATGTCTATGGTAACTATGTGACATAAAGGGATAGAAATTATAGTATTTTTAGTGTTTAATGCTTCACTCCGAGTGAGAAACAGTTATATATATCATTGAGATTATTGTTTCTCATGTTGTAAGAGATAATTTTATCTCACATAAAAGTGTGTGAAACCATATTTTTTTTCCTCTCTACTCTTTCCATGACTCCACACACTTTTACGTTAATCCGTGTATTATTTCCGTTTCTTCTACTCTTTATAGCATATGACTTAAATAACACTATTAATAAAGTTTTTTCTATACACATGACGAGAGATTGAATCCCTATCAGTACAATATGCTTAAACGACTCAGTCATGTATCAACTGTAGACTTTATTGGTAAACCGTAAGATTTTTCCCATCTAAACAAAGCAGATTCCCCTCTCCACCCCAAAAAGAAATTATATTATTATTATTTTTTGTCTTTAATGTTTTACTCCGAGTGAGAAACAGTTATATGTATTATTTCTGTTTCTTCTATTCTTTATTGCATATGACTTAAATAACGGTTTAAAATGCACCAAGCTAGGGTTGATTTATGATAAGGAATGTATGATCCGATTTTTCTAAATAATTTTAAATGGTTATCAATTAGCAATAATTGGTTACTTGAGTACCCTTGTTGATCTGATTTGCTTCAAAGACGAATCTAGCTGCCTTTCAAGTGACTCGAGCTCTTTGCTGCTTAGAGGGCCAAGATCTTCTCCCATAAGATTCCTAATGAGAGTATCAGTCAAATAAATCAATGACTTCGTATTATATAGCATGTGTATTTACAGTATAATCGAGCATCAATACCTCTGAGAACGTTGTAGAGCTTCATAACGAGCCTTCAGCTTCAAATATTCCTGTTGACTGCTTAACTCCTACAGTCATGGTATGGATGGCAACAAAATCAATGCAATTACATAATTAAAGGAAGATATTCACCAAGTCGTTCATAAGTAATTCATATATAAATCTCGTTTTAAGGATGTCATGGACAACTATGCCCTAAAGCAATTAACTTGATGGTGATTCATATTTTTGGAGCCTCCTCAACTGGTTCATCCTTTGGACTAGTCCAGTTTGAACATTATTAGATTCTATAGAGGGGACGACTCTACCAAAGATCATTTTTTACATGCCCGTGACTCGAATACGAGTCTTCTGGTTAAGGGACACAAACTCCTTATCATTTGTGCCAATGGTATTTGGTATGATCTATATTTTTTGTGTAGGCAAGTATTTAGTAAAGAACTAACAAGTAGTTTTGTGGGCAAGCTAAGTAGGGATACCAATAATCTCTTTGAAATACTATTCTCAACTATCATGCACACTATTATTAACTTAGAAAGGAATAAGATCACTTGAGTTCATGAGAATGCAGCTGTGTCAAAATTTGATAGGGAAAGCTTTGTTGTCCATGTGGTCTACCCGGCTAGTTGAATAATGGAAGAACCATTAGATAATATAAAAAAAAGAAAGGAACAAGATCACATATTATCACGTTACATTTTAATAATTCCTTATTTTTTTTATAAAATTTTTATTATTTTCTTGATTTAGAAACGAAAAATTAATCCTCTCTTTCTAAACCATTCCATCCAAATATAACCTAAAGATCAATCAAATGGCATCAACTTGATTTTCTAAGACAACCACAAGATCCTTACATTTCGCTTGGAGTAGTAGCACAAGTTTTGTTTTCACAATAGTTAAATAAATAAATTCAATTGAAAGAAAATGACATCATTATTTTCTATATAGAGACAAAAGAAGGCAAAAGTTCTATTCTAGTTGATGTTTCAGGCAACAATCACCAGAACTATGATCTGGTGGAGAATTGTGTGAACAGGAGTTCTGAGGCGCAGTTGCAGCTGCAACAAGGTTTGGGGCAAAAACACGACCTCACATGCCACAAAAGTCTAAGGAGGATTGTAACAAAGTATTACTTTCAATGAAAATGGAATAAGAAAAAAAAAAATGGTAGAGAAGGCTAGGAGGCTTTACTGTTGTCAGGTTAAGTAACAAAGAAACGATTTTTAATATCATTTTCTTGTGATTGCACTAATTCACTCAATGGGGCATGCCTATATTTGTCTTCTGATCAGTCGGTTTCTTGTCTTTAAACTATGTACAATAACCTAAACTAGTAATATTTTATAATATGATGGTAATTTTATTTAAATAATACTATGCTTTTTAAAATAAAATAAAAACTATTCCAATTTCTTGGACTAGTACACATTCCTAGCTAACTCGTGATATGGGGTAGGCCAAATGCTGCAGCTAGAGGCATTATCTTCTATATATCCTCCATATTCCCATGTAATTATGAAAGGAAAAAAAGAAAACAAAAAGAAATAGCTGTGATCAAATTAGACAAGTGAAATGCACGAGTAATCTAGTAAATAGGGTGTGTGGGATGATTCACCAATACCAAGGCTTCCCTTGTTGACACATTAGCCTCAGGCGCTCCATAGTTGCATTTCTGGTATCTCTCTAGCGTTTTGAGCATGCTGCACATTGACATAAAATAATATATATTCTGAAAAACATGTGCACCATAATATAATTCCAAAATTTCAAGTCAGATGTACTTAGAAATAGTACTTACACATCCAAGAGGAAAACTACAAGTTACTGCATAATTAAAATTTACTTTGGTAATTAAGATTTTCTCTTTAATAAAACTTAGTAATAAATTAATAGCATGAAAAGGAAATCGGATATCCTATGGATAATATGAGATAGCTCATTTATGTGCCGTTTTTCAAACCCAGAACTAGACGCATGTAGTACAGCAATGTTCGGTTTCAGTTCATTCAGATCTTAAAAGAACCAGAGTTGTTTTCAGGGAGAGAGAAAACTCTACAAAACAACAGCAAGTAAGAAGCTTCGGAAAAAGCAAATCTGAAATGAAAGCCAATGTCTTGAAAATGTTTATATGTCTAGCTACTAGCTAGCTATGAAGCGTAACTGAATGGAAAAACATGTCAGTGCGTGTGTGCTTGAAAACGGAGGAGGAGATATAGAGGTTATGTTATTCACTCGAAACCCTATGAGAAAAGACCATTCTGATTCTGATTTCACTTAAGTATCAAACTGTAATAAACATGTCTCCATCATGATATGATCAATTGAAAAGAAAACATCAAATCAAACATCTGATTTCAATAACGTACGAAGATAAGTGACCAAGAAAACTGAAAACACAATTTTGTTCTCTGGTACATGGTTGGGAATCTGAGAAGAACCCCACATAATTAAAAGCAGAGAAGTCCCATTATAATGCTTGACAAAGATAAATAAATAAATAATATAAAAAAAAGAAAAAGAAAAGAAATAATAAAAAAAGAGAGAGAGAAGCTTTAAATAAGAGAAGAGAAGAAAGAAATGGACAGATACTGAGAAAATGAAGAAGAACTAATTGTAGAAATAGAAGAAACCCTAGCTAGGCTCAGGGATGCAAATGAGAGAGTTCCTTTCCTCAATAAAAGAAAATGGAAAAGAAAGGAGAAGTGGGTTTAGGTTGTTTCAGTGATTCTTAAACACTGAAATCAAAAGCAGACACTGGCTGCTAAAACTTCACACATAGAACAAATAATTTAATGATGTGCTTCTTTTCCCAACACTTGAAAATTGCACAGAAAAGAAGCCTGTGAGGTACCAGACCCCAAATTGCTTTTGGGAAAAAGCTTTTGAACCAGATCTGCTCGAAACACAAATGAAGCAAAAACAGAAATTTTGGATTGCTGGGTTGAGAGCCAAAAGAGGGAAAGAAAGAGAAAGTTGAAGGGTAAGGGGAAATACCAAAAAAATTAAAGAACAAAGGAAGAGAAAAAAAAAAAAAAAAAACTGAGATAGAAAGAATGGTCAATACAACAGTGATCTTATGTTGTTTTATTGTATTTATATTTCCTTGGGTTTATTGCGTTTCCAGTTGCAGATCTAACAGCAATAGGATCACAGAAATACTCAACCTGCTAAAAACGCAAAGACATTCACCGAAACGGAAAAACTCAAACAGTGAAAAAAGAAAATCAACTTTTTCATTCATTTTTTTTTCTTGCAAATAAAATAAAATTCAGAAGCTATCAAACTCTAGCTGGTCCTCTTCAATCACTGAAAACAGCAAAAATCAAAGGAAGAGAGAGAGAGAGAGCTTTGGAGATCTTGGAAGCTGAATCAAAACCATTTAAAAAAAAACCAAGGGAGGGAAAGGTGTAAAGAACAAGAAAGGTTCTGCGGTTCCTTTTTTGGTGCTTGTATGTTTATGTGCACATATACATATACACACACACACACAAACACACATAACATTTGGTGTTTGAAGAAATAAACAAAAAGAGAGAAAGAGAGAGGTTTTTTACTTCTATGTATTGTGTCCATTTTTATATGTATATAGATATTTTGCATTATAATGAATACCTTGAACTGCTGCAAAACTCGTACAGCTTTCCTCTATTGGAGAAGATGATGAGAGCAACCTCAGCATCACAAAGAACGGAAAGCTCATAAGCTTTCTTCAAAAGCCCGTTCCTTCGTTTAGCGAAGGTCACTTGCCTGTTGATCTTGTTCTCAATTCTCTTCAACTCCACTCTTCCCCTTCCCATCTTTCTCTCTCTCTCTCTCTCTTCTCTTTCTCTCTTCTAACTCTCTTTCTTACACTCAAATATCCACCTCACTGTAAATACTAATTTTAGAATATATAAAATCAGTGCAATTATTTTTTTTGTTTCCAACTAAGCTATGGTTTTTTGTGCTTAAGCTATCTCAACTTTCAAGTGTTGTACTTAGAGCTACATGTATTCATTCTCCTTCCTTAAGAATCTGAGAAAAAAAAAAAAAAAAAAAAAAACCATCCTTATCAAGCCCTAATGGGAACTACAAAATCAAATTTCTCTCTCTCTCTCTACCTGTGGCCTGTGCTTTGTCTAACACACACACAATGATAAGGACATGGCTAAACAAAACTAGTCTAATTAATTAAAGAGAAAATTACGTATCATTTTAAAGCATATAAAGTTGTGTCATTTTAAGAGAGAGAAAGAGATAAATAAAGAAAGAAAGAAAATTGACAAAAAAAATAAAGATCTAAATCCTACCTCCTTATAAGAATAAAAGAATATAAATTGTGTCATTAAAAAGTATAAACATTTTTTCTTTAATTAAAAATCAGTGTGTAAAAGTATCGTAAGCGAGAAAAAGAAGTTTTGTGCTACACGTAAAGTGTACCTAATCTTAGGGGTGGGAAAGTACTTGCCCATGAGAATGCGGTTGATGTGAAAAGTAGGATTGGATCGGACGGTGGGAAAAATGAGGGGATAGAATTGGAAAATTGAAGAAATATAAGAGAAACCTTAAAAAGTGTTAATGACTAATGACTAATGATGAATGAAAGGAAAGGAGGGGTGTTCGCAATCACAACAGTGCCACGTGTCGAAAGATGAAGTGGGAGAGAGCCTGATGTCCACCTGACTTTTTTCGGGTTCGGGCAATCATGTGAACTAACCTTAAGAAGGTGAACCCTCATAGTCGTAGGTAGTTCGTATGTTACATAGTGCATTTACATAAGTACCCCTTTTCCTTCCTAGATCTTAAATTATTTTTTTCTGGGAAAATGACTGATGTACATTGTTTTTATATTTATTTATTTTTGAAAAAAAGTTGTGTCATTTTAAATGACACATCTTATGTCCTTTCACTTTCACAAAGATATGAGACTCACGTTCTAAAAAAAACTTCACTCATTCTCCCTTCTATGATTTATCTCTTTTTCTCACTTAAAATAATATAAATGTGTCTTTTAAAATGATACACATTTTTCCTAATATTTTTATACATGTTACAATGTATAATTTTGTTACAATGTATAATTTTGGAATAGTAACATGTATTAATTAATTACCATATTATAGTAATTGATTGTTAATTCTTAAACTATGCAATACACGTACTAATCCGAAAGTTAAACACCATTACTTGATATAAAAGTGATACGAAGAAAGTGGTGGGCAATTATGTTAATGTAAAGTTAAAATGTATAGTCTTAATAAAAGTTGTTTTTTTTTTCCAATTACATATAAAAGTTTAATAAAATATGTCTCAATCAAGAACGAACCATCCCAGAGAAATTTAACATCAGTTGAACCATAGCACTTTAACTCGTTAATCCTACATTAGTTATTCTAACTTTGCATCATCAATTTTTTTTTCTATTAGATAGAGAAGGAAAATTATATATAATGAATTTTATGTTTTTTGCAACTAATTTTTAGAAATGAAAATAATATTTATTCAACAAAAATAATTTCAAATGATAATATGTACGACTTGTTGGGTATGACTCATACTTCGCATGCTGTATCGGGGTCAGCAGAAAGGCAACTGGGTTTCCGCTCCCAGGTGAGCGGGTGGGGGTCCGGGGGGCAGCGCCCCGAGGCTTGTAGAGGCTAGGTACTGTTGTGGGCCTCTGTTTTATTGTAATTTTCTTAGCAGTTTGAGCTTGGGACAATTAATAGCTGCTGTTAGGGTTTTGTAATCCTATTTATATTTGCCTTGTAAACCGAGAGACTTGTAACGAGTGGCGGTGAGGTGAATATAATACAGACAAGCTGGACGTAGCCTAAATTGGGTGAACCAGGGTAAATCGTTGTGTCTATTCTCTCTCTTTTTTCTTTTCCGTTTTCGATTTGTGTGTTGTCCATTTCCAACATGAATAATGTTTTTAAATTTTTGTGTAAGGAAAAAAAAAAGTATGACTTGGTTATTTTATTTATGGAGTTTTAGTTTGTCCTTTAAGGTGACCAGAAAAACTTTACAACACACACAATATCTCGTGGGGCTCACACTTTTTGAAGTAAAAAAAAAAAATTATGGCACACAAAACGAATCTCTCTAATATTACACAATCACTTTTCTTACACCATAACTCTTATAAAACCCTTTATTTATAACAGAGATTGAGATTAATAATGGGAAAGTTATGTACTGGTTTGCGCGTTCACTTGTTCCCGTGGTAGTTGTCAAGGAGGTTGAGTTGAAATGCAACACGTCTCTAATTGACATCTCCTCGCTACTTTAGTAACTTAGACTCTTGTTTTTAATTGAAATGCGTTTAATTTCTTACTTGAGTAACTGACGATATCTTTACAAACTAGGCATATTGGCATTGTGCTAGAGAAACTAGTCTTAGATGAAAATGACATAACAGCAATTGCGTATTATGCAGTTTCCATTTCAGAGATTTTAACTTAAAAACTTCATTGTATATATATAATTAACTTTGTTTTCTGAAACCAAGATAAAAGATGTTGATAGCCTTATTAACTTTTTATTGCAAACTGCTAATAATAAAAACCTTAGCTTAATTTCAACACCATGCCCTACCTTTGAAGGGGCATTAATTTACCGAATGCCGAGTTAGCACATTTAACTGAATTAGAAGAATTCTTAAAACGGTTCGAAGACCATGTCCTGTTTCACATGAGGAGGGAAAAACGTACTCCTATCAACTAGACATGTCATTACCTTTGCTGCCAAAACATGCGCTTCTAGGATTTTAGTTCTTGATACCTTGTTTTGTGGAAAATTTTGGAAACCGATACGATGCCTGGTTGTATGTAATTCATGACATGCCAAAATAGTGGTTTGTCAGAAGGTTACTAGTGTATGTGTGGTGTTTGTATACAAAAAGCAATTAGAATAATTAACTTCTCTTAATTAACTTGAAGTAAGAAATTTTTAGCCAAATTTGTTTTTGGGCATTAATACTCATCAATCCATGTAATATGTTATAACTGGTTAATATTTATATAGCATAATATTTATAAATTGGGTAAAACCAAATATATATTTCTATCCTTAAACTTTGTAATTTCTCTCAATGTGATCTTATGCTTCTAATTTGTTCCAGTCTAGTCCTTTCATGCACCTTCCAAATTAATTCAGCACTCTATATAAACGGAGACACTAAATGGAATAGGATTTCATTTTTTTTAAATAATAATAATAAAGAAAAACCAAATTGAAGTATACATATCTTCTCAAAAAGACCAAAAAGAGTTTTTCCTCTTCAGTAAACATGATATGTTTATCAACAGGGAAATAAGCATGTCAAATTTCAAATACCAGCTTACGCATGATACATCGATCGATGATATTAGATAGGGCTAATTCTCATATATTAAGCAAGTTTGTAGTGTAATATTTAGAATAAGGTGCCCATGCTTGCTTGGAGAAAGTAAAACGAATATGTCAATCAAATCATGTCACGATTTAAAATAATAAATACCGGTTTGATGGTTTTGTTTTAGCTTCTTTTTTGTTATAAGGAGAAGTTTATTGAAATATATTTTTATAAAAAAATTTATTATAATTTTTTTTTAAATAACGAATAAATAATAAAAAAAACAAGAAACTACCCGGAGGAGTGTTTTTAAGATATACATAAGCTTTTTTTGAGTTCGCATACTTTTTTTGTTCCAATTATAAGCCTTATTATAAAATTATATTTCCAAATTTTATTCTCTAACCTAATGACAAATCATTCAATTTCCTCCTCCCAAAATTCTCAGAATCAGAACGTCACCAAGATGAATAAAATAAATATATTTTATTCATTCTTTGATCTATTTTTTTCTTTAAGATTTTTATCTTTAAAACTTGGTATTAATGTTTTTAATATTTTATCTCCTACACACATATAAAAATAGATTGTCCCCATCTAGGGTAATATGAAGATAAAAGGGAGAAAACGAAAACACGAGCCTCACACACTTTTATGTATGTATATAAAATAATTTTATCTCTTATAACATGAGAAATATTAATTCCTTAAAACTTTTGTCTTTTATTTCTTATCATATTTATATTTAATTAACGAAATAATAGATGTTTTAAATACCCTTTATTGTAATTTTAATTAGAAACATAGCTTAAGAAATTTTTTTACCAAACAACTTACTTTTAACTTGAGTTTCAAAATAACTTTTAATCTAAAATTTTTATATAATCACATACAATTTATAACTTTATTTTTTAAGCTGATATTTTTAATTTTAACTTAAAAAAAAATTCCGCCAAATATGCTCCGAGTCATTAATTGGTAGTATCTTTTCCGCACAAAAGCCCACCTGATTTGTTTTCAATTCTTATGCATGGTTTATTTAAATTGAACACATAAAAACTGGGGAAGAAAAAAACGATATTGTTGGCTGAAGATATTGGAAAGGAATATAGGTGAGCAACAATTAATTAGACGTTTTTGTTAATTAAATCAATCCTCTCGTGTTCTAAAAATAACTGATGGTGGATCTCAAAAAGTACTGTTGTGTATGGAGGGATAAGGGATTTCCAACCCACAAAGAATTAAAAGCATATATCTAGTGTACATTACTACTCCACCTTCGGATTTTTACCGTTTTTAATCTTTGCTCTTTGGGTAGTTGGGAAAGGAAAAAGTAGGAACTATGATGGACTAATATATATTCCTGCATTTTCTTTCACTCGATCGATAGTATGTCCTAAAGGGGAATTGACGTGAACAAGCTGCTTATGGGCATGCATATTGAATCACTTATGAATGTTGCTGTTGAGGAGATAAGGAACAGTGAAGTGAACCATCTTAATTCTTTGATACCAAATACGAGATAGAAACATCATGGGGACCCAGCACACTGCACTCGCATTATGTGCATATTGGGGGCAAGATCAAAACTATACATGGGCACCCCCTTCCGTATGATAACTTGAGGAAAACTGTGCAAG